GATGTCAGGATCTGCCAATGCCATTGTTACAGGTCCAAACACACAGGAGGGTACAACTGCTTCATTAAGGCTGACATTGAAGCTTACGCCGCCCCTCTGAACTCCCAGTTTTGTGAGCCAATAAGTATCTTCATTGTGTAAGCCAGATTTGTTTGTTTTTTTTTTTTTAAGATTTTATTTCTTTATTTGACAGACAGAGATCACAAGTAGGCAAAGAGGCAGGCAGAGAGAGGAGGAAGCAGTTTCCCCGCTCCTGATGCAAGGCTCGATCCCAGGACTCTGAGATCATGATCTGGGCCAAAGGCAGAGAATTAACCCACTGAGCCACCCAGGCGCCCCTGTGAAAGCCAGTTTTTTTTTTTTTTAAAGATTTTATTTATTTACTTGACAGAGAGAGAGATCACAGATAGGTAGAGAGGCAGGCAGAGAGAGAGAGAGAGAAGGAAGCAGGCTCCCTGCTGAGCAGAGAGCCCGATGCGGGACTCGATCCCAGGACCCTGAGATCATGACCTGAGCTGAAGGCAGAGGCTTAACCCACTGAGCCACCCAGGCGCCCCTGTGTAAGCTAGTTTTGAGAGAAGACATCACCTACCTCCATTTTGACCTCTCTCTGTACTTCCTAATTAAATTCTTTCTGTTTTATCTCTTAACTCAAACAAAAGACCCTACAGGGCAAAGCATCCCATGACGGGAACCAAAACTACCCTCTCAAGCAGTAACTAGTGCCCTAAGCCAGCAAGACTTGTGTGATTGACCCCAAGACAATGATCTACTTGACCTTTACTGCCTACCTGCACGTACCCACTCACCTTTGTCCCACATTCTCCTTATATAAACCTAGAAGTATTTTCAGCACTTTGGAGACAGTCTTTGAGACACTAGCCTGCCTTCTTCCTAGTGCTGGCCTCACTGAAATAAATTCCTTTCCTGTTTCACCACGACTTATCTCTCTGCCTTCAGATTGGATCAGTGGCCAGTGGCCAAACCTGGTCTGCTTGGGACCCTGGAGCCAGGTGCTCTCACTCTTCTGTGTCCCAGTTATAGTTTAAATTCAGTTTTACACTCAACTCAAAGCTGCCTGCATCCTAACTGATTCAAGAAGTATTCTAACATAATTTTCTGAGAAATCTGGGGAAAAAAAGAAAGAAAAGGAAAAGAAAGAAAGCCATTATGAGGATATTAAAGACTTTAGACAGACAGTGAGGGAGGGATAGAATATTTTAAAGTTTCTGAGTTCATTGTCAATCCCACTGTAATATGAGACATTTGTAAGAGAATTGATAAACCTCAAGAAGAGAGGGGAATCGAATGTTCATGAAGAAGCATTGTTGTAGAGCCTGGCTGGTCCTGTACCTTTCGTTCATTCCACAAATAGTTTTGGAGAGTCTGCTATGAGTCAGGCAATGGTCTAAGCTCTAGAGGACTGGTAGACAGAACAGTCGGGAACAGTCAGGTCGTTGCCTTTGTCGAACTTACAGTCTAGCGGAGGGAGACAGACAAGAAACAAATAACCATGATAAATAACTAAATGGCAAGGCAGGTGACAAGGTGTATGTAGTGTTACAAGAAAAAACAATAGAGAAGCCCCTGGGTGGCTCCCTGGTTAAGCATTGGACCCTTTTTTTTTTAGATTTTATTTATTTATTTGGGGAGAGAAGAGAGCACAAGGAGGGTGAGCTGCAGGTAGAGGGACAAGCAAGCTCCCCGCTGAGCAAGGATCCTGATCCAGAACTTGATCCCAAGGCCCTGGGAGGCCCTGGGAGACCCTGGGATCCTGACCTGAGTGGAGGGCAGATGCTTAACTGCTGGAGCCACCCATGTGTCCCTCTTTCTTTCTTTCTTTCTTTCTTTTTCTTTCTTTCTTTCTTTCTTTCTTTCTTTCTTTTCTTTTCTTTCTTTCTTTCTCTTGCTTTCTTGCTTTCTTTTTTTAAGGCATCTGACTCTTGATCTCAGCTCAGGTCTTGATCTCAGGGTGGTGAGTTCAGGCCCCACAATGGGCATGGAGCCTACCTAAAAATAAAAAATAAATTTAAAAATTTTTTAAATGTAATAGATGAGGTGAGGGGAGTTGAGAAGGCAGAGGAGAGGGTGGTGAATAGCAGCTTAAATAGGCAGTCAGAGTAGGCCTCATTGAGAAATGATCTTTGAGAGAAGATATTAGAGGGTGTTAGCAATACAGACACCAAAGAGAAGAAAATCATTCTAGACGGAGGGAACAGCCAGTGCAAAGTACTGAGGCAAGAGTTTTCCTGGTATGATGCAGGAACGGCAAGAAGGTAGTGTGGCTAGGGTGGAATGAATGGAGGGGTAAGAGGAATTAGGAGTGAGATCAGAAGTAAAGGGAAGGGCTTTGTAGTCATTGTATGGACTTTGGCTTTTACTTCCACAGGAATGGGGAGTCACTGAGGGATCTTGAGGGGGGAATCATAATCTGGCTCAGATTTTACCATGACTTTCCTGGCTATCATGTACAGATAAAGGAGAACATAAATGAAAGCTGATGATCACAGCAATACAGTGAAGCAGTGGTGGTAACTAGCAGGTTGGAAGTAGCAGAGATGGTGAGATAACCTTGGATTCCAGACATATTTGAAGGACCCAACACAATTCCCTTAACCAAGTAGATAAAACACATGAGGAAAAAACATGTGCTGACAAAGCTGTGAATACAACTCCTCAGCTTCTGACTCCATGGCCCTACAAAGAACAAGAACAGTGGCACTGGGTTTGTGAAAGGTTGACTTGTCAAGATGTATCACAATGTCAAAGTGTGGTTGAAGATAGAAGATACAGTGTAACACATGGAGCAGGGTTAATGTTCCTGGAAGCAGACAGCGGCCAAATTTCTGCTTCATGTTGTTAAGAAATATGTCTAGGGGCACCTGGGTGGCTCAGTGGATTAAGCCTCTGCCTTCAGCTCAGGTCAGGATCTCAGGGTCCTGAGATGGAGTCCTACATCAGCCTCTCTGCTCAGCAGGGAGCCTGCTTCCTCCACTGTCTCTCTCTGCCTGCCTGCCTCTCTGCCTACTTGTGATCTGTCGAATAAAAAAATAAAATCTAAAAAAAAAAAAAAAGAAAGAAAGAAATATGTCTAGACCATGAAACAATCATCACAAAGGTTCTGAGAAACTCAGCATTCCCTCCAGGAACAGCCAAAAGAAAACAAAACAAAAAAACCAAACTTTTACAACCAGATTATAAGGATCAACTTAAATTCCCATTGTAGTATTATATAGACAAAAAGAGCTGTACTATCTGTCAGTATCTTTTGATTAGTATTGCATCTCGTTTGAGAGAGCCTCATCTACCCTCAACGTGAATCTTGAAGGCAAATTTAGAATGGAATAGACATTGGGGAACAAATACATTGAAGAAAATGCAAATAAAAAATATTTTAAACTCAAAAAGGTGTATCCTCCACTGATCCTATAGAACTCTGGATATTTGACGCAGACTTTTCCTCAACTAGTTCTTCTGTATAAGAATTACTCAGCTGGGTGTGGTGACGCTCCTGTCCCATAATAAATGTATTCATGTATCACCACACTCCCTTTGGAGCCTCTTTAAAAGCCATTCTCTGCCTGTCGGACAGATTATTGGCTTGATTCTCATGTCTGTTCAGAACCAAAGCATCTAGATGAGGCATTATACAAAAGTTGTACCAATGTGTTTTAAATCACCTAAGTATAGATAGTAGTTAATAATGGACTCTGCCCCATTGAAGTTTGGTTTCCAGCAGTGCCATTTACTTTACCATAAATGCTACTTCCCCACCTTTAAAACGGGCATAATGATATTTTTAGAGGATTTGTTGTGAGGATTAGAGTTAATATTTGTAAAGCGCTCTGAACAGTGCCTGGCAATACCCTGTGTGTATGTGTCCATTATTAAGGACCAATGCTCCCCGGCATCTCAGGGATTTAAATTTAATGCTCTTAAAAAGCAGAGAAACCAAAACTGCCACACTTTTTCAACGCTCTCTGATTTTATTCGTTTCAAAGCATTTAGAACATGACGGACAGCAAAGAAGGTCAAAAGAAGAAAAGATAGGGAACCCCGAGTTGTTTGTTCGCGAGTTCCAGGCGTGTCTTCTTCGTTCAAAAACTCGACCATGACTCCCAGATCATCTTTGTGATTACACACATTCTTGAGTACACGGTTTTGCTCCGTTAAGAAAAACCAATCCGTAGACAACCTAAGAAAAAAGCGGAGCATCTCTCCTGACCACACTGAGATCTGGGTGAACGACGGATTATTAGACACTGACATTTCTAAACGGTCGGCAATGAAGACCTCGCTGAGTCCTTCTATCACTCGGACTTGTCAGAAAAACAGCAAGAACGCCACGAGGCCTTAGCGTCAGGCTGCACTTGCCCTGGACGCAAACGAGAGCATCCAGGGGCAAAGCCAAGCCGCCGGGCGTCCGAGCCGAGCGAGCCCCGCGCCTCCCGCGGAGAACCAGAGGCCTGCTCCCCGCGCTTCCGCGGTGCTTTCAAGGCCTGGAAGAGACCTGCGGCCCGGGTGAAGCCGGCCGGGGCGAGAAGAGGAGGGACGGAGCTACAATACTGCTGCCTGGCCCGGGTCCGGAGCCCTGGAGCGCGCGCCGTGCGGCCGCGGCGGAAGCGGGCGGGGCGGGGGCGGGGCGGGGGCGGGGCGGGGCGGGGCTGGGCGGGGCTGGGCGGCGGGCGCCTCCGGGCGCGGCGCGCGTTTCCGGCGTGAGCGGCGGAGCGCTCGGGTGGGGGCACCGCCGGCTCAGAACAGCGCACAATGAGACAGCGCTGAGCGCCGGAAGTGGGGCCGAAGGAAAACACGGAGAGGGAGCCCGGCCGGGACAGGAAGAGGCGGGGGACCGCGGCGGAGGTGGTGAGTGCTACGGAGAGCCTTCTCCCCGCGTCCCTCCCAGACCAGCCTCCGGGGTGGGTCTCCGGTGGGTTCCTTGGTCTCCGGAGTAGAGGGCGGGCCCGGCCGGAGAGAGAAACGTTGGCTCCATCCCCCGCCGGCCTCCTTGCCCCAGTTGCGAGGACCTGGGAGCCCTCAGGCCGGCGGGGACTGAGCTCCTCGGATTCGAGTCTGCATCTTCACTTTGTGTCAGACCCTGCCGGCGCTTGAGAAGCAGTGACTTGGGTGGAGGCACTCGGCACCGGCCCCCTGGACGGCCGGGGGGACCCCGGAACCCCATCGAGGAGGCAGGTCACTTCCTGCTTCCTGGTCCCCGAGGTGGCTTCGTGGCCAGGAGTGCGGGGACGCCTCCCCTTTCTCTGCCTCCTGCCCCGAAGTGTGTAAACTGAGGCAGATCGGGTTGGGGCGATCAAACGGGGTCGAAGAGGGAGAACTGGTGTTCGTGACAAAACCAAACTTGTTTGGGGTTAGAGAATGAAGGCTGGGGAGGTAAGCTGGAGTTGTCTCTTAATCTGAAATCTAGCCCCCTTGACGAGGGAAGCCTTGGTGGGGAGCGAGCCCCTCCGCGAGGCCCTCCCCAGACCAAGCAATCGAAGCCCCTGGTTCTGGATAAGGTGGCGATGGGGGGCCGAGGCCCTTCCCTAAAGGACGGAGAAGGGACAGGAAAGTGGAGATGAGCTACGTTCACAGAAAGTTTCGGTTACTTTGTATAACACTTAAAAGTAATTGCCAACTTTTTTTTTTTTAAGTCCGTTTCCGGAGTTTTCTAACAACAGAGGTTTGGGAATGAGGGTTTTGTTTGGTTTTGTAGAAAACTTTTGTTTTATTGGTAAAGCCACCCAACTTGATATGAGTAACATTTTTTAATACTCCAGTTTTCGAGACTGTAGGGAGCTTCCCTTAGTCACATATATAATCTTCATGTTAAATAGTAAGTACTAATTTTCGTGAAGAATATTACAGGATTCAAGCCTCCCAACTTTCAGTGTGATGCGCTGATTATTAGAATGAGATGGAAATTAGGAAAACAAGAGTTTGTATAGGCTTTTGAGTGTCTGTGCAATAAACGTGTTGTATTTCAATATCTTGTTACAGTTTGATGATTTCCCAAAATGCCTTCTTTCAGGTGCAGAGTAAGAAAATTGGAAGTCAAAGACCATGGGAGATGCAGCAAAACCGTATTTTGTGAAACGTGCTAAGGACCGAGGAACTATAGATGATGAGGATTTCAGAAGGGGTCACCCCCAGCAAGATTATTTGATAATGGATGATTATGCTAAAGGCCATAGCAGTAAAATGGAAAAAGGCCTTCCAAAAAAAAAAATAACACCAGGGAACTATGGGAGTACCCCCAGAAAAGGACCATATGCTGTTTCCAGCAATCCCTATGCATTTAAAAACCCAATATACAGTCAACCTGCTTGGATAAATGACAACCACAAAGATCAGAGTAAGAGGTGGCTCTCTGATGAACTTGCTGGTAATTCAGACAGTCGGAGGGAATATAAACCTGGACCTAGAATTCCTGTTATAAACCGACCAAGAAAAGACTCCTTTCAAGAAAGTGAGGATGGATATAGGTGGCAAGACACAAGAGGCTGCAGAACTGTCAGACGACTACTTCATAAAGACTTGACAAGCCTAGAAACCATGTCAGAAATGGAAGCGGGAAGCCCTGGTAATGTGTTCCAACTTGTCAAGTTACAACTCCAAAGTTGCAATGTTTTTTTCATCCAAATGAGGTTTATTATTTTCAGCAATGTAGTTCTGATTTTTCATAGTTCCTGCTTATTTAATGTGGATACTTTAAAAATTGTAATCATGCTATTTGGGCAACTTAAAAACATTGCATGTACTGATCACTTCAAAAGTTCACTTGGCTATGAGGCCCATTTTACTTCAGTAAACATATTTCCCATTGGTGCCTTTTACTCTATCGCCCTGGGGACTATATCATATTTTCTGAGTGGTGTATATGTATTTTCTAAAATTATGTATTGTAATTTTGTGTTTCAATAGCAAATGCGTCCATAATATAAATGACAGAATATAAAGCTAAAAAAAATCGTATTCAATTTAAGTACGCAATATAGACTGTATTTCCTATCACAGAGGGTTATCTGTCTTTTGGATGGAGTATCGATCTCCACAGGGGGGTAGTCCACGATTTTTTTTTTTTTCCTCTCAAAAGTGACCATGGCAAATAGGCTGGAACACATTAAGTTTTGAAAGTCAGGAAATACAGATGAAAGTTTTGCCTTTTAGTTTCTGTAACACCAAAACCCATTTCTAAGTGCCCTCTGTGTTTGATAATAATTGCCTCAAAGTGAGTATAAGTTTTTCTAAAAGGTGAATAGATTTTGTCCATGTAGCAGTGATTTTTATAAACAGGAAAATTAGCTAATGGACAGTAGTTACTGAAATGAAAGAAACTAATAAATCTGAAGGAAAAAGTAACAGTATTTAGTCTGAAAATGGGAAAATGGGCTTTTAAATATATTGGCTGTAGGCCTTTTTTTTTAAAGATTTTATTTATTGAGAGAGTGAGAGTGAGAAAGAGAGAGCATGCCTGAGCACACAAAGACAGAGAGGGAGAGACAGAAGTAGGCTCCCCGCTGAGCAAGAAGCTCTATGCAGGACTTCATCCCAGAGTCCTGGGATCATGACCTGTGCCAAAGGCAGACTCCTAACTGAGCCACCCAGGGATCATGACCTGTGCCAAAGGCAGACTCCTAACTGAGCCACCCAGCTGCCGGGCCGTAAGCCTTTTTTTAGTGACCATATGGAATGGGTGGCAAATTGGCCGGCATTTTAAAGTTTTTTGTTTTTTGTTTTTTTAATTTAAATGAATCTAGGCGATGTTGGCCCTCTCCTCGGTATCCAGAAGCCCTTTTCTTACGTGTTATCTCACAGTGGCCAGTTACATTTATGCATGTTACTGGTAAGGCATTTGAATTTGTGATCTGGACATTTGGAATACTTAACAGAAAATGTCATTTGTTATCTTTAGGGAGTCTTATGATAGTCTTAAATGAGAGAAGAGGTGCCATTTTAGATTTCTTAAGGTAGGAAAAGCAAGAGAATATGCCTTGTATAGTAGAAATAGAATGAGGTGTTATAAAGGAATCCCAGGAGAGGAAAAAGCTTGGCTGCATGAATCTTTAAGCTAGAAAGAAATGGAAAAAATTGTCTGATCTAGTGCTCTGTTGTGATACATCAGGGTACAGTCACAACTTTTCAAAAAAGCAGGCTGCTGTGGTCTGGCGAGGTTAAATTTATTTACTGGGGTAGTGGCTGAGGAAGTGGAACTGAAATTGAGTGCTGTGCTGCTTTGGCCGTTAACTCAGCCTCACTAGACCTTGAATCTGACAGAGGGAAACCGAACACTCATAATTTCTCAGCTTTTGATTGGTGTTTATCTTTTTTAAAGTCTTCATATATTTTTCTATATTATTGTGTCCAGGTAGGACATGGACATCTTAACGCAGTTACCAGTAGTCTTTTACAAGAAAAAGTTGGTCTCGAGTAGCATTATAAAAACAAAGATTTATAGAATAAAAGTTTGCAACCAGATAGACATTAACAGGAACTGTTAACAGACTAAAAACTTCTTGTATATGTATTCTTGTTTAGTCTGAAAAGCAGCTAAGAAAGTTACTTTTAAGTGGTTTTGAACAGGAAGTACATACATTTTTACTGTCCTTTTAATTGAAGACAGTGCCCAAACCCCCATGTTCTCTGTAAATGAAAAATACGTATGTTCTTTCCCAACTGCAAGATGAAGAACTGTTCAGCTTCTAGACCTTGAACATTCATAAGGGAAATACTAAGCTTTGGTATAAAATAACTTACTGTAGAGAGAAATTCAATTTGAAGTATAAACTTTGCACTGCACTCAGGATCCCAAAAAGGATCTCATTAAAGGGACTGAAATTTTCCTTGAATCAGAATTCTCTCTTAAGGAAGGGTCTCATTAAATGATGTGAGAAGCCAGTGAAAATTATCTTAGAGTTGCTTTGTTTTTTAATACTTATTTTCTATTTTCCAGTTCTGTGTTACCGCCCTGTACTTCATCCCTCAAATATCCTAGATTGCCAATTTAATGTATTTGGGACAATGCCATTAGTGATCTTAGCTGGAAAATATCTGTTCATATACACATGTCCTTTGTGAATGGTATCATGGGCCATAAGCAAATAAAATATGGGAGACTTGTAATACTGTATACAGAGAATTCACGTTACAAGACACCTGCAAGAGCCAGGTAGTCTTCCTCTATGTAATTGTGGGAACTTTTTAGCAATATCCAGTTTTGTCTTTCAAGATTCCCTTCAATGAGACTTTATTTGACCGTTTTTACCATGCAGTCCTGTGAATCTCAGTTCGGAAGGTGATACTGTCTTGTCAGTTATGGTCTACTCTAGATGTGCATGGATGCAAGGGGGGATTTCAGTAAGTTCTTTCCAGTTCTTATATTGTTAGATAAAAGGCTGAATGTCAGAATTCCATCCATGCTTTAATCCTTATTTTAAATCCCATTACTTTCACTTAGTCATTAGTCCCCGAGTAAGTTATTTTCTTGGGCCAGCATTTTCCCCATCTGGATGATGGGGGCAGTATCAGCATCTATGACAGGATCACTACGGGGATGAAACAAGGCAGTGCACATCAAGTACTTGCATTGCATCTGTCGCATAAAAAATACTCCATAATGACAGCTGCCGTCGTCATCGCCATCAGACAGAATTTCTGCAGCCATCCCTTCTCTGTATAAAGACAATAAGGAGTGGGGCACCTGGCTGGCTCAGTTGGAGCATGCAACCCTTGATATTGGGGTTGTGACTTTGAGCCCCACATTTGATGTAGAGATTACCTAAAAATAAAATCTTTAAAAGGATAAAAGGAGTTAATCGTGCTCTTTGAAGGGAAGTTGTCATCCCAGAAGATGACAGCAAATATAGTTATATGAAAAGCCTTTGTGATTCGAGAGAGGAGGAGTTAAAAATGGGATTTGGTTCCATATCAATTACTGTAGTATAACTAATATGGACTTTTTTCTTTGTTGTTTTTTTTTTAAGTAGGGATTCATCTGTATATTTTTTTTTAAGATTTTATTTATTTATTTGACAGGAGATAGAGCAGGTGCACAAACAGGGAATGGCAGAAGGAGAGGGAGAAGCAGGCTCCCCACTGAGCAGGGAGCCCGATGAGAGACTGGATCCCACAACCCTGGGATCACGACCTGAGCCAATGGCAGACATTTAACTGACTGAGCCACCCAGGTGCCTCTAATATGGACTTTTCTAATGGTATTGCACATATTTGTGTAAATCTCTAATGAGTGTTTGCCAAAGTAGGAAACTAGTGAACACTGAAATCAGATATAATTATTTAGAGTAGAGCTTGGAAGATACACAAATTAAATGAGAACAGACACACCTCTAAGTTAAAAGAAGTGCTTATCTCAGAAGTTGATGCAGATGGAGAGCACAGTCCTTAAAAGATGGTGATAATTTAATTGGGAGTAGAGGAGCATTAAAAAGCAAGTATTAAAAGTAGACTGGTTTTTCTCCGCAAATGACTACTTACCTTGTAGTATTTTATTTGTTTGGCCCCTTTTGATGGCTTTAAAAAAAAAGAAACTGTTTGTCCTAATACTTTAATTTCTTTCAATTGCCACTTAGAGAAGCTATTTATGGAATTTCATTGTATATTCATCTTATGGTACTTTGAGCACAGTGCTTGCTACTTTTCCTTTAGAGTTATTGGCAACAGCTTTTTGCAAATTAGAGAGCCTATATTTCCCATTTCTGACACAAGTTTTTTCAGACAACTGGTTTATTGTAACTGCTGTACAAGAAATGCATTCCACTGAAAACTTGACATAGGAATTGCCTCATGCAGGGCTTTTCAGTAGGTTTATATTTTGAAAGAGTAGTTTTTGATCAGCCATTTAAACATTATTCAAAACATTTATCACAATTTTAATTGGGGATATGAGTTTTATCTTAATCGTATGTAATACTGATTTATTTTCAGAGCTTAATAGAGGTTATCAGAGCTATTTAAAACAATTTTTAATAGATTAATCCCATAGTCATCTTCAGTTCCACAGGTAGAAAAGTTGTAAATTTTAAAAAGGCAACAGATTGACTTATTAGTTACAAAGATTGTAGAATTAACAGCAGAGTTTAAATGAATTAGTCTATACTTGTAGAAAACTTTTATTTCAACTAACGGCCTTTTTTTCTTTGAAATGTGCTTATTGTACAGGCTGTCCAAAGAAGCTAAAATGAAAGTAAAGATAAGATGGGAACTAGTTGTCCTCTGTAAATAAAATTTTGGCTTGAACTGCTTATATCCATGTGGGGAGAGGGCCCAATTACATGAAAACTGAATTTACAACTAAATGATGGATTTTCATTCCACGTGAGAATATAGTTAATTTCTGAGTTCTTTGGAGATCATATTGTCAGTCTTTGCTCTGTGGAGGTTGTTTACAAAACAAATGAAAGCAAATGTGGATAGTTTTCAGTAGAATAACAGGTATACCAGAATATATTTGATACATTTATATTGTATATCATAACGTATTAGGTGTATTAGAATTACAAGTATACTTACCTTCAGAGGACAATTTTTACTATTGCTGAATATGTTCAGGAGTATACTTGGAAGAAATGATAAAATCACATTGTATGGTTGAAGCGAATTCTTTTCTAGTGTTTCCGAAAGAGGATTTCTTTGGGTTGGTGTATCTAGATGAGGTGGCCAATGAGTATTCACACATTTTATCCATGGAGGAGCTTTCCTTTTGCTGTGTTCAGATATCGTTCAGATAACCACATTATTTAGTTAATAAATATGTATGAATAAATATGTACGGTCTGCTTTTTTGTCAGAGTGGTATTACTCAAGATTACCAATAATATTTTCCCCCTAACTTAAGAAAACAAGAAGCAGAGGTCCAGACCTCGGAAGCCACGTAGGACTAGAAATGAGGAAAATGAGCAGGACGGAGACTTGGAAGGCCCCGTGATTGACGAGTCTGTGCTTTCAACGAAGGAGCTCCTGGGCTTACAGCAGGCAGAGGAGCGATTAAAAAGAGACTTCATTGACAGGCTAAAAAGGGTAATGTCTTTTATTTGTTACTTAAAGTCCTTGTCTTGGTTTAAGCTGTGCTAGTAATTGGAACGTGTGCTTTGATCAGTTAGGCATCCTACTACAGTTATTAGCATTTAAGCACTGTGAGTTAAAAGTGATACTCATTTTGATTTAATTGAATCACTTCCAAAAAATGGCCATTAGGATAGTGGTTAAGAGTGACGATAATATGTTAGCAGATAATATGATGGGGAAATCATTTCTGGCTAACTTTTGTTTGCCTCTGTTTTGGAAGATACTGTATATATATATATATATATATATATCTAAATCTCTCCAAATTATAGCGACCAAGAAACTACCCTACAGCTAAGTACACCTGCAAACTTTGTGATGTTTTAATTGAATCCATTGCATTTGCCCATAAGCACATCAAAGAGAAGAGGCACAAGAAAAACATTAAGGTAAGTTTAATGTAACCCAAACAAATGTTTATTTGTTAGTTGTTTTTACTTGTCATCTTTGTGACTTTTCTGTCTTTAAGGGTATGATATTAATAACTTCACTACTTATATATGTTACTGAATTTATTTTAGACAAAATACATTGGTGAGATACGTTTTGCTGGGCAGTCTTGTGAATTTCATTAAGAACAGTATCAGGATGAGTAAAGTCATTGATAGACCTTGGTATATGCCCTTATGCCCGTAATAATAAAGCAAATAATTTGTCATTGCTGCTTTTAATGTTTTTTCCCTGCACTTTTTCCTTATTTTTGCCTGCCTTCTATTATCACTTTATGTGCATAAAGAAGTATATGTGTTTGATGAACTGAAGACTAACACAGCTAAGGTGAGAGGGAGAGCTAAGAAAAATATTCCAGAATATTCTACAGGGTGTTATCTCAGTGAATGGTAGAAGGTAAAAACTGTGTGAGTCATTTTTAATCTCAATATTGATCTTAAAAGGAGAAACAAGAGGAAGAGTTGCTCACTACGTTACCCCCGCCTACACCCTCCCAGATTAATGCAATTGGTATTGCCATTGACAAAGTGGTACAGGAGTTTGGCTTACACAATGAGAACTTGGAACAGAGACTAGAAATTAAACGTATCATGGGAAATGTGTTCCAACACAAGTTACCAGGTATTTTCTAGATTTGTTTTTCTATTTAGCTACCTAAAAGTGCCTCATGCATTTTTCCAACCCGTAGTAATTTTCATCTAATAGAAACTGAGTTACCATGTCCTGAAGCTCTTAATTTTTGTTTGTTTTTGTTTCTTCTGGCTTTCCCCCAAGGTAACAAAGACTTTTATGTGCACTGTCATTAAACCTGTCTTCATTATGAATTTTCTTGTACACATGTACTTTAAGTTAAATGCTCCAGATTATGGGGGCACTGTGGGACTCTTGTGTATCTACCTGTTTACCTTCCTACCTATTCAAATTGACGCAACATTTTGAGTTAAAATAAAAGTATATTTGAGTCATTCTCAGGTTATCTGTGTCCCAAAAAGGTTCTGTTTAACCACTTTTAAAAAGAATTGCAACATCTAAACTGAGCTCTGAACCTATTTTGTAATAAATTTTGTGTACTGTTGATTAAATTTTCCAGGCTATGTCTGTGGAGCCACAGAAAACTATTTTTTAGAAAGCTCCACAAGTGATTCTAACCCACAGTTAGGATTGGAATCACTATTCAGAGGTTATCACCATATCCCCCATAGAACCATTTGTTCTATTGAAAAAGCATTCATATGGCCTATCATTCATACTTGTGTATACCTTCATAAAAATAAAGGGCAAGGATCTGTTCATTTCATTATATCTGTATCTCATCCTTTGTGTTATAGACAAGTTCCAAGAAAGGGATTTGTAATGTCAATGATTTTTGCTGTAGCTTTCCATTATAAAATGTAATGTACTTTGTCATGGAAAACTGTTAAAACTCAAAGAAACCACTTGACTTAACAAACCTAGAAAACCCCACAAAAACCCTGGTGGAAAGGAGATGATTTTTTGGCCCAGTAATGTTAAACATTGGGGGAAAATGCCATAAATAAATATAGGCAGCAAACACACACACACACACACACACACACACACACACACCTGTCTTCCTCTTAAGAGTGAATTGCTTGTTGCCTAACATTTTAAGTTATATCAGTGATTTTATAATTATTTTTCAAAAGTTTTCCCTAAGAGAACATACTGTATTAAGGGTCTTTTTGTTCATAATTATACTGAAAAGTAACTTTATGCTGATTTTTATGAGTATTCTATTGAAACAATCTTTACAGTAAATTATACCTGTGTGTGTGTGTGTGTATTTTCTAAAAGATTAAATGTTTGTACTAACTCTTGAATATACTATCAGGTTTATAAATATAAGACGAAGTTAAGCATCGTTTTTGACTTTCAGATTGTAAAAATCCTGGCAAATAATATTTTCTGCACAAAATATAAAATAAGTTAGAATTTTTTAAACATGTTTTACAATTGGCATGAAAGAGTAGCTGTTAACCTAAACTGCAGACAATACAGCCTTCCCCGGTTACATAAAACAAAATGAATACAAGCAAAGAGCCAGCTGTTCCTGTTTGTTTATACCAGATTTGAATACTGTCTTACATTCATGCATAGTCTTAATTGATGGTTCCATGTCTTAAACAGCAGTGTTTTGTTATGAATTCTGAGAAATTTCACCTTACATATGACTCACTTTTTTTTTTTTTTCAGATTGTTCTCTGAGATTATATGGGTCATCCTGTAGCAGATTGGGTTTCAAAAATTCAGATGTAAATATTGACATTCAATTTCCAGCCATTGTAAGTACAAAATAAAATGTTGAAATTTTCACAGAATGGTCTGGAAATTCTTTTTTTTCAAATGTGAGCTATATAAGAGTATATTTAGATACTTGAAGATAATATAAGTGGCAGCTTTCCCCCCTAAAACTTCCAGTTCCATGCTCTTCTGCCAACCTTCAATTTTAGCGCATTTCTTTTAATACTGTACAGATTTCTGTACTTCTTTATAGATCTTTCATGTATACTTCAAATGCTGGTTTTTTAACTATGTAACTCTAATGGGGCTTTTTAGGTTCTGTTAACTTGAGAAGATTAAATTATCTTGGTAAAGTCAACTTTCCAATGTCAGAGAAGAATTTCAGATTTTAAACAGTGTGGATGTGGCAACATTTGTGACCTGAAAACTCCATTCGCTCCTAAGTTGCTACTTCTATACACCTACTTTGTTAAAATAATTAGGCTTTTGAAGACTCACACCTAGCCTGGATTTCTGGTTCAAAGGTGATTGAAAAAGATATGAGTCAGAATTTTGAATCTGGAAGGCACTCTAATAGATCATCTGTTCATCCACTGCTGGTTCCCCAGGCCAGTTTGCAGATGGTTTATGCCCATTTACCTGGTTTGCTAGTTAAAAATAATGAAGATTCCTGAGCACCATCCTCAGATGTTCTGTCATACAGCTTCTCATCCCTGACTGCCATCCCTGACTGCTACAGCTACATGGTCAGCTGACCAATAGATTTTACTCATCTTTTAACAGTCAAAATTGAATTAAATTTAAACTTGAATTAAAATTCAATCAAAGTTAGTAATTTACCAGCATAGCATTTAGCAAATACTCACTGAGTCCGTGTTGTATGCCAGGCACTGTCCTAGATCCCAGAGAACAAAACAGTTAGGATTCCTCCCTCGTGGAACTCATGCCTAGTGGAGGAAATAAGTAATTACATATATATATGATTAATTAGAATGAGAGCTATGTTGGGAAACAAGGTTCTGTGACAGAAAAGAACAGGAAATATGTAGATCCAGCCATCATGAAGTCCCCTTTGAAGCAATGGCTTTGACTCCAGGCTCTAAACAATGAAAAGGAATAAGGAAGTCAAAGGGTGAGTGTTTCAGGCAGAGAGAGCAGTGTTTGCAAGCACCCTAAATCCCTACAGAGCTTAGCCTAGTCAGGGAGCTGAACGGAAGGTGGAACGGAAGCCATGGTGGAAGGACCAAGAGAAAGAAGCATCTGTAATATTAGGACAGAGGGCCCAACATGCGGGATCTGTGGGCCTTGGTGAAGAGTTTCACTGTGACCTAAGGGCAGTAGGAAGCTATTGAGAGTTTTAAGGAGGGGCAGGACTAGGTCTGATTTATGATGTTAAGTGGTTGTGCTTCCTACGTGGAGCAAGGACTGGAGAGGGCAAGGCTGAAGTGGAGACCAGCAAGCAATCTGTTGAAGTAATCTTATAGTGATCAGCGACATGAACAGTCTCACGTCTTGGAGGTTTGCGGAGAGGCTGATTATGTCAGGAATTCGTTATGCAGGAGTTGACTGTGCAACAGATCACTTGCCCTCATTTGGCGTTCGTCTCTGTCTCTGACTAATGTGTACACGTAGCATAATGATTAATTTATTTACTGGGGTAGCAGCGTGCTTTCTAATTTGGAAAGGAGTTTGGATAACTTCCAATGACTGTGTATTATCTCAGTGAAACAACAGTACTTATGGATTATTGTATTCATTGATTTGTTTCCTACGTATGGATTAGTAATGTATTCATTGAATTGTTTCCTAGATGTCTCAGCCAGATGTTCTCTTACTGGTTCAAGAATGTTTAAAGAACAGTGGTAAGGCCAAATTCTTTCCACGTTTTGCTCTAAATTTTCTTTTGTCATAATTTGAATATATCTTATTTGTCAAACGTTGAAAATAGGAAGGAAGTCATGCATCTTTTAATTATTTCTGTGGGTAATATCCAAACAGAAAACTATTCTGTGATTTAAATTAATACCTCACAGATGATAAATAGGTGTGACCCAACCCTGATTAATAAGTCATCAAATACTTGCTCCTGGTTAGGGTTATCAGTGTCCAAAGTAATGTCTGGCTTAGGACTTGATGACTCATTAAACTGTCTCATCTCATGAATTAGTCTTTCCTATCCTTCTTGTTTGGGTTGGATGAAACATTGAAACATTTCTTCTTACTTCAGTCAATATGTATTTTGAGCCCAGATAGCTTTTGCAGCAGTTTTGTTTTTGAATATATCCTATCCACATTTCTAATTATCTTATCCACATAACAACACTTAAATATTCTGATTCAATAATGAGTCAGCTCTAATCAAATGTGAGTCTTACAAAATAAGGGTTTTAAATTAACGTGATTACTAGGCTGTTATACATATTACTGTTTCCCTTTTCAAGTCCTCTCAGAGCTTTATTTCGTAATCCTCTTTCAGAAGGCCAAACGGATTAAGTCACAACTTGTACTTCATCTAGTTCTGCTTTTAAACAGACGTTTAATTAACCTACTTAATATTTTTTCTTCTTTCCTCAGACTCTTTTATTGATGTTGATGCAGACTTCCACGCTAGGGTGCCAGTGGTGGTGTGCAGAGAAAAGCAAAGGTCTCCATTTCTTTAAGCTGTTTATATATTAAATAGAAACTTGCCAGGAGCACGTGTACTTTATTATATCTTAATGTCTAATTTCTAGAATAACAAGCTCCTTATGTAGTTAATTTCACAGGCTCACTATTAGCATTCTTTCTATATGTTGGCATTTGATGCAAGAGGAGAAGGTATTTTATTTTTAAAAAGAATAAAATTATTTGAGAGGCAACAGCAGAGGAAGGAGGTATTTTGACCCCTTTCATTTCAGTAAAAAACAACTTTATCGAAGGGCTACTTTCTGTAGCCACCTTACTTTGTCATCCTTTTTAGCAGCATTTTTAGCAGTGCTGAATAACAATTAGCGTGACTTCCCCCTGTGTCTCTTCCTCCATCTGGAAATATTACCATCACCACAGTACATGAGTGGTTTGTAGGCTGTAATGATTCTTCATTAGGCAGATTCCCCCAACTCTTGGGAAAACACTCTTTTACAAAGATGAATTCCTACTCCCATTTGAACCATTTTACCATATTTTCCTGATTTTTATTTCCCCCCAGAAATAGTTTTAATGTATGAAAATACAGAGTTTTAGTTCTGAAAAATAAAGTTCACTCAGAGAATAGCTGCCCTGTCTTTTTCTTAATGCAGTGACCTAAATGACCCATAAAGATTTTGTGAGTTTTTAATTTTCATTTTGAAGATATTTGTTATCAGTGCAAATTAGTTATTGTCAGTGTAAACAATATCTGATACCTGTGTAATGCTTTTTATCTTTCTTTTTCTTTCCCCCTACCCCCAGTGGTCTTCTTTGTAAAGTGAGTGCAGGAAATGAAAATGCTTGTTTGACAACAAACCATTTAACTGCCCTTGGAAAACTTGAATCGAAGCTGATTCCTTTGGTGATTGCCTTTCGGCACTGGGCAAAGGTAGGTTTGAGTTCTTTAAATGTGTGAGCACTTTCTATGTATGCATAAACGGTCTACTTTGATTTTTGCCTGGGTAATCTGAAACGTTTGGATGCATATTTATAGACATGAAGAGAGTAAGCATCTGAGCATTGGAACAGAAATTTTAATGTCTGCAGAAAGGAAAATTTAGTGTGTCTATTTCACTGTAACATTGCTGAAAAGATCAAAATGACTTATAGTGCTTATTAAAAATCAGATTTGTGGGTCAAATATAGAATATGACCCAAGAATTTACAATCTAACTAGTTTCCCAACACGATTCTTAGGCACAGAAAGGTTTGAGTGATACCATTTATAATCATGTACGCAGAAACTCCAAAAAATTGAAGCCATTCTCTGCTCATGCTTACATTTCTATAATGTTTTAAGTGTGATATCTCGATATTTATTAGAGCTTTTAGTATTTCCTTAAAATTGAAGGCCCCATGATGATTATAAAATTGAGATTCTGTGTAGGTACTTTATAGAGAAAAGCTAGAGCTTTACTGATTAAGATTTGGCAGTAACAGGGACACCTAGGTGGCTCAGTGGGTTAAGCGTCTGCCTTTGTCTCAGGTCATGATCCCAGGGTTCTGGGATCAAGCCTGCATCAGAATCCTTGCTCAGTGGGGAACCTGCTTCTCTCTCTGCCTGCCACTCCCCCTGCCTGAGCATTTTAATGCGTTCTCTCTCTCTTTCTCTCTGATAAATAAATAAAATCTTAAAAAAAAAAAAAAAAAAAAGATATAGCAGTAACAATATATAGTGCCTATTGCTGTGGTCCAGGATAAGCCAAGGATTGCACCAGTCTTAACCGGGTGAATTGGTAATTACAACATGCCATCCTTTGAAAGCTGCTTCCCACTTCACTGAGTAGTCTGTGCTTTTTAAATGGTTATTCCTGTTGGTGCTAATGAGTTTGCCTACATTCTCTTCCCAGTCACCTTTCTGAGCAAAGCATGAATTTTCAAGGCAATAGGTTCAGATGAGGGGACCATTAAACTGAGCAGAGCCAGTTGGCTTGCACTTAGGATTGAACCATCATTTTGATTTCACTAACAAGTGTGTTAACCAAGTCGAGTGGATTTGCCACTGGTGTCAAAAAAAAAAAAAAAAATTAGATTAAAAATTTGAAATGGAAGTTGCCCCTCAACATCACAACATATGGTTGCTCCAAAAGTTTCAGGAAGTTTTATTTTTTGTCACTGTGGTGTTTTGGGTTTTAGACCAAATTATATAAATCATAGACTGGTACAAAAGAATGCTTATCCTTTTTTCTCTTATTTGTAGCTTTGCAGTATAGATCGCCCTGAAGAAGGAGGCTTGCCACCTTATGTGTTTGCCCTGATGGCCATTTTCTTTCTTCAACAGAGGAAAGAACCTCTTCTGCCTGTTTATCTAGGATCATGGGTATAAAACTTTTTTTGCTTATATATCTGATACTGATTTTATTACAGGGCCAGAATTGCTTACACGTAATTTCAAAATCTAAACTTAACCAGAACGGACATGAATTTATTTATCATGCTAGTGTGAATATTCATGCCTCTCACTGCTGAAATCTTATTGTATTTGACTATAAGATGCTGGTGTTTTAATTTGCGAAACACGTAGGGTCCTGAGGATTTTAAACAAGACATTGTGAACCTGAATTAAATTTATCCTTTGGTACATACTTCCTTTGGGTATAACTATATACTTAAATTTACAAGTCACCTCCAGACAAACTGTACGAAGCACTCGATTGCTGTAACTTACTTTCTGTTCTAGAATGTCTAAATAGCTCTCTGCATTCCCCATTCTCTGGGGAAAGAATAGAAATAGAAGTACGGAGACTGCAAGATGCAGAATGTTGTCGTCACCTCTTGAATAGTATTTTGTTGTTCAAGATGAGTTAGAATTCAGTAATGTGACCACTCTTTTTCTACATAAATTAAAGTTGATTTATTCAAATAGGATCGAAGAAGTCTCCATCTCAAAGTCAAAATAATACTCTTTTCATCCTTTTGGGAACTTTTCTTTTAAATCCTAGGTGTTTATCTTGATAAAATCTTATATGTATACTTACTATATAAAAAGTCTAACTTGGTAAAAAGCTTATTTCGGCACATATGGTACCGTAACCACCTTTCTTCTTAAGTACACAGGATTCTCATCATTTAAGGAGGATTTGTTCTGCAGCAGTAGCTTAACTATGAATACATACGAAAAATATATGATTATAGGGAAAAGCTTTTTCTTTGTACTTATATAGTGAGTATTGAGCAAGGACCTTTATCTGCTGGGTCCTAGGAACAAAGACCAAAGACCAAAGCAGAATGAGCCCCTCGTAAACTCTGTCATGGAGGAGGGATCACAGACCACTGTGTGTCCCACTGGCCTAAAGGGTACTTTCTTTGTGCTTGTGGCACTGAAACGAGAGAATGCACAGGACCAGTGGGTGTCTGCCAGATAGCTGTCCTGGTGGAAAGAAGAGAGAACAGTCAACCCTTAGCTGATAAGTAACTATTTCCATCAGACCCAAAAGGGCCTGTGAAGGTCTTTAAGTTTTTTCTTTCACTTTAATCCATAGAGACAGGAGTTTAGAATGAAACCAAACCAGTTGGATTCCTGTGCCTGAGAGGGCCATTAGAACACATCGTATGTGTTCCCATGCTTACTGTTGTCTTAGTGAGATCTACTTTTTCTGGTGTCCTGGTCATCTCTGAGTACTCATCTGTCACTGATGTGAGGATGCAGGAAAAGGGATGTGTCTATTCTGGTGATGTGATTCTCCTCAGGATTTGCTTAAGAACACAGTAGTATGAGTACCTTGCTCAATGGCTAGTGTATTCTAGGTAGTGGTACTGGACATCCTCTAAAGTGACATTGAATTTGCTTTTGATTATACCATTTGTTTTTTAAGATTTAATCACAGAAACAGGTATGTAGTGGCCAAAAATGGATTGAATTCTGTGATCAAATAAGGTACACTCTACTGCCTGAACTGAAATGATCTACAGTTTTCAGTATTTTAAACTCATCAGGCATCACTGCTAAAGTCTTAACCAATACTAGAAGCTTCTGCTAGGGTCATAGAAATATAAAGCAAGTACGGGAAAGAAATTAAATTCAGCTCCTTATTGGTGCCAGAAATTTTACATTGTTATTCCTGGACAAAATGCTTTGAAGATTTCAGTTATGTTTATAAAAGTTTCTAAACTGTTAATTCCTTAAAATCTTTAAAGCTCTATGTACGTTTGTCATTTTACTTGGCCCCGAAGGGAATATACAGATAACTAAGATGAAATTCCCGGTCAAGAACTTCAGGTATCGTGCCTCTGTGCCCTCATCTAGCTCTTCAGAGATTGTTGAACCATTCCCTCCCAACTTACGCCGACCTCTTCCATGTCGGAGGCTGTCCTCGCAGACCTATTACTCCCATGTATCGTTATTAGACTTTGATTTGACTAAAATTAATCATAGTGAGTTGTGACTGATGAGCAGGTTTAACCCTGTCTTCTCAGCATCTTTTATCCCCAACAACTAGTCTTCTAGTAGTTGTTCTTTGGAATATACCTAAATCTGTATAGATTTAGCTTTTAGCAGTTATTTACCCATGAAAGATGGCAGGTAATATAATAGAAAAAAGAGTAGTCTAAAGTTTGCTAGCCCTACGATTCCTCCAGATCTTGTCACACATGTCCTTAGGACCTTCAGCAAGTTATTTATTTTCTTGGAGTCTCGGAGTCCTCACTGAGAAATTCTGAAATGAGATCATGAATGTAAAGCTCCTAAACCAAGGCAGGAGAACAAATGTAGTTCTTTTCCCCCTCAACAGAAAGTCAAGTTCTACTTATGATGGGGGGGCACAACCTCCTGACCAAATGATCCTTATATAAATAACAGCTATAAATTCTCAGCAAAACACAGAAAACAACAACGTGAAGGCTCTGGAGACTGAACAAGCACAAGCAGACTTCGGACAGTGTCAGACTTTGGAGCAAGTGGCCAACAAATAGCGAGTTTCTGTTCTTCTTTTGTGGCTTTATCCTGAAGGCACGCACTCTGACAGCAAAACCAGCCCTCTCTCTGGCCAGAGGAACGAGTGCCACCAGATAGAAGGGAAAAATATGGAGGGAAAGATACTGAAAATGGAACCCTTAATTCTCTGTGTGAATTCAGCATGTCTCTGACCAACTCCTGAACCAGTCTAGTCTGTCCTGTAAGGAACTTGGAAGTCATCACTCTGTCTTCACAAAAAGAAAAAAAAAAAAAAACTGAATAAACTGAGAATGAACAGCTCTTAGATCTATCAGAGATTTGAGGTCAAGGAAAGCCAATGCCCCTAGAACTGGAGAGACAGGCAAATACAGCAAATTATAACTTGTTAGAGCAGAAGCCCAGGAGCAGAGCCAATACTAGGGTAAGAGGGCTTAGACTGTGGTTCTGGAGGCTCAGTCTGCACAAGCCTGAGAGTGAAAAATAGCAGGGGCCCCAGTCTTTGGGAACCTCCCAGTGATTTCACAGGTTCTACTCCAAGAACCCCCACCAGGTTCTCAGGATGGAGATCCAAGAAAAATCCCCTTGTGCTTTTGGCAGGATGAGAAAAGAAGTCACCATTTTGAAGTATGCCCAGAGCACGCTATTCTCCTAAACAAAAGCCTGTCTTCAAGTGAAACTTTTTTTTACCAGGGCCTAACCGGCCTAGGGAAAAGAAAAATACCCAACTCCAGTAGCCCCTTTCCTGAGCCTTCCTGTCTTACTTCAGGTGGGGAGGATTGAAAAGCATTTTGTCAAGGTCACAGTCCAGGACCACAGGCTCTGCTAGAAGACTGACACCTGATCATAGGACTATAGAATGCTTCCCCTCCCCCAGACCTTACCACATTGTTAGGGCTCCTGCATAAAATGGGATTATAATGGCAAGACCTCAATTCAGAAGAAATCTCTTGGGAAACCCAAAAACAACAGGGAAGACAAAAACAAGAAGTCCAGAGAAACTTTGAACCTCTTGACATCTACAGCTACAGCAATCAGTAAACATAGCCTAACTCCTAGCAAAATTAAACTTCACACTAAAGGCCTTTCTGCCTCATTTCCTTAAAAAAATGAACTGAGATCAGAATTGCTGTCCACCAGTCTGCAGTTGGTGTAGCCAAGTTAATTACCTATAAAAGTAGCCACATGTTCTGGAGCAACATAAAGAATCCAGAATTTTCACAATACAGTATAGCATTATAGTATCCAGAATGCAGTCTAAAATTACTCAATATACAAAGAGCAAGGAAAATGGGACCTAGAGGGAGCCTGAGGCAGGGCTTACATCTCACAACCCTGAGATATGTATGACCTGAGCTGAAATCAAGAGTGGGATGCTCAACTGACTGAGCCATCCAGGTGTTGCAACCCATAATAAGTTCTTGAAGAAAGGAAATAATAAATAAAGATACGGACAAAATCAACAAGGAGAAAATAGAGTAACAATAGAGAAAACAAGGCCAACTGTTCAATAAGTAATACTGATGAGCCCCCCATAGATTCATGAGAAAGGAAGAGAACACAGTATCAGGAATGAAGGGGGGTTATCTCTCCAGATCTTACAGACATAAATGGATAAAAGAATATTATAAACAATTTTTAAAGATTTTATTTATTTATTTGACAGACAAGAGATCACAAGTACGCAGAGAAGCAGGCAGAGAGAGGAAAGGGGAACCAGGCTCCCCGCTGAGTGGAGAGCCCAACGAGGGGCTCGATCCCAGGACTCTGAAACCATGACCTGAGCCGAAGGCAGAGGCCCAACCCACTGAGCCACCCAGGCGCCCCTATAAACAATTTTATACCAAAAAATTAGAAAACTTAGATCAAGGAGACCTGTCCCTGTAAGACTCACAAAAAGAGCATTCAAGAAAAAAAATAGCCTGTGTAAACTCAGCATGTCTCTGACTTTTTTTTTTTATTTACTCCCTTTATTTTTATTTACTCCCTTTATTCACTGAAGAAAATGAATTTGAAATTAAAGACCTTCCCATGAAGAAAACTCCAGGCCCAAATGGCTTTACTTGTGAATTCTGCCAAACGTTTAAGGAAGAAATAGTATCAACTACATAAGCTCTTTCAAAAGATAGGAGAAAGAGGCCAGCATTACCCTGATATCAAAACCAGACACACAAAAGAAAGCTGTTATATACCAGTATCCCTCATGAGCATGGACACTGAAACCCTGAGCAAAATATTAACAAATCAACTGAGAAATATACAAAAATAACAAAGGAGAAAAAGCCATGTGATCCTCAAGAGATGCAGGAAAAAGAAAAAAAACAATAAAATTCAACATTCATTTATGATTAAAAGAAAATAAAAACAAAACCTCTCTACAAACTGGGAACAGAAGGGAACTTTCTCAGCCTGAAAATGGGCATTTATGAAAAACACCTGTCAGTAACATCCTACCTAATATTGGATTCTGGATATTTTACCTGTAGCACTGTGAACAAAAAAGGATGTGTCCTTCCCCATCCCATCCCCCCACACACTATTTCTATCTAAATATTTAAAGGAAGTTCTCGTCATTACAATAAGGAAAGAAAATAAAATCAAAAACCTGAAAGGAAGAAGTAGAAGTTTCTCTATTTCGGGTAATGTGATGGTTTACATAGAAAATCCTAGAAAACTACAAATCCACCTCTAGAGCTTACTAGTATATTTAGTTTGAACATAGAATAAAAAGATGATATACAAAAAAAAATTGTACTTTTATATATTAGCAACATTTAAAAAGGTTTTGAAAAATTCCATTAACAATGCTTCTTGAAAACACACTAATGAAGAATAAATTTAACAAAAGATCCATAAGACTTTCAACTTGAAAACTAGAATATTACTGTGAAAGTTAAGTAAGAATATACATAAATGTAGAGACATACCAAGTCTGTGGATTGGAAGCATTGATACTGTTTTCAACAAAAGTGCCTACGCATTTCATTGGGGGGGAAGTCTTGTTCAGCAGTTGATCATGGAAAAACTAGATAATAAGGGAAAAAATATATAAACATCAACCCTTTACCTCCCAAATTACCCCCAAATTAACTCAAAATAGATCAAAGACTTAAAGGTGGAAGTTAAAATTATCAAATTCCCTGGGCAACTGGATGGCTCAGTCCGTTAAGCCTCTGCGTTCAGCTCAGGTCAAGATCCCAGGCTCCTGGGACGGAGCCCCTTATCGGGATCCCTGGTCGGTGGAGAGTCTAACGCTCCTCCGTCTGCCTCTCCCTCAACTCATGCTCTGGCTCACTCGCTCTGAAATAATCAAATACCTAGAAGAAAACAGGAAAAAATCTTTGCAGCCTGAGGGTGGGCAAGAATTTCTTAGCTAGAGCCCTAAAAGCACAGTCCCCCAGGGAGCGTGGCTCAGTGATTGTTACGGGAAGAGCTTTCAAAGCAGAGGAAGTAGCGCTGTGAGCCTGAGCTGGGCGGGCGGGGGGGGGGGGGGGGGGGCGTGTATGGGGAAGATGGGACTGAGCAGTGGCAAAGGGACAGATTACCTACCTTCTTTCTAAGCCCTGAATTTTATCGTGAGTTCGAAGGAAACTACTGTGAGGAGAAATGACAGGACGGCTTATGTTTTGGGATTACTCTGTGTACTAAACCAAAAAAGTAGTCCCACTTGTTGTAGAAATATATTTGAGAAACGGTACCACATCCGTACCATGACTCGGGTACCTTAACCAGTTTAAAGCCTGTGATCAATCCAACCGCACAGTAAAAACAAAACAAAACAAAACAAAAAACCTGTTCAACTTTGTTCCACATTTCTTAGACCTTTTGAGCCCAGGCTGTGTTCTTTAGCAATTGACATCTCAGGAACATCAGTAGAAACTGTTTCTTACATTGAGCGTTCACTGTGTGCCCTATGCTGTGTCGGTGGATTTTGTCCATTATTTCATGTCACAAGTATCACGGAGGAAGTTATAGTGTAGCCCGTTTCTACAGAAACCTGAGACCTCACAGTTCCTCCAGGGAGCCGAGGTTGGGACCTGTGCAGTTTGACTCCAGAACCCGTGGCCTTGAGCCCAGGCTGTGTTACCTTCTCATAGACTGTTTACTAAAGAAATACTTCACAAAATCACCACTTCTTTTGCAAGTGAAAACTTGTTTTTTACTTCAAAGAGTATTTTTAAATGAACAGATGTCTCGGTTCATAAACTGATATGATAACCTTTTCTATTTTCAGTGAGTTATGTTTTCATTTCTTCTAAATAAATACACTGTGGTTGATATAAAATCCTTTCTATCTCATTGTAATAGGATATGTCTAATTTTTCCTAGATTGAAGGATTTTCATTAAACAAACTAGGGAACTTCAACCTTAAAGATGTTCAAAACGACGCTGTATTCTGGGAATACACTGAGAGTGCCGCCGGCGATGCAGACACAGCAAAAGAAGGGGCCCCAAAAGAAATGCCTGTTAGAAGGGGACAGGTCTGTTCTCTCTCATTTTTAATTTTGCCGTTTATATTTGATTTCACTGTTAATTGTGGAGTCTGTGAGTTATCAGTCCTCCTCTCATCTGTCAGCTATCTTAACTCTTCCATGGATGTTTTCATTTCCTAGTCTGTTCAGTCCTTGGAATAGACAAGTAATGAGAAAAGGTAAAATTCAGATCACTGAATCCACAGTGAAGAAGTACTCGGTATAATGCATTTCAGTGTCCTCATCCGCACCATTAGGGGTAGGCAGGGAAATTTATGCACAAGGAAAGAATTGCTGCTGAAATTTAAACAGAAATCTGAGCAATGTCATTATACTAGAAATAAGAATAGGAATCTGCCCCAAATTGGGGAAGATTTGGGGCAGATATGGGCCCTGACCCCACGACCTTCCCTGTAACTCTGTGGTTTGCAGTGGCAGCAATACCCACAAAGGACTTCTGAGACCAGGATCCTAATCCTCGCTGTACTCAAACAAGTCCTGCCGCTCCTCTGGTCTGTGCCTAAAATGGGGAAGTGGTGGCGAGTCATAGATTCTCCAGTTGTGTTTTCTTGAATCCTTGAGCGCTGGAGAGAGAAGGGAGGTGGTGCCACTCAACCCGATGCCACCAGAACACCACCACTTTTTTTCTGTTTTCTTCTTGGGGTTCCAGTAGTGGAGAAGAGTATAGGCTGTGGAGCCAGAATCTTTGAATTCATATCCCAGCTGTCCCACTTCCTGGCTGTGTGTCCTTGGGCAAGTGACTTAATCTTCCTGGGCCCAAGTTTCCTCATCTAAAAATGGAGATGATACTGGTACCCTCTGATAGAGTCATTGACTTCTAGAATGCTTAACTCAGTGCCAAGCAAGTGGTAAGCACTCAGTAAATGTTACTTGTCATTTTTGGGGGAGGGGGGTTGTTTTTGTCTTTTGGAAAAGAAAGCATTTCCTACTTTAAAAGAAGAAAAACAATAACGAGAAACAGCTTAAGTACCACTAGTGTGGATAAGTCCACGTTTTTGTAAGTTCCACGTGGTGGTATTATCAAGTCATCTCGGTGAAATGCTTACGAGCCCTTAGCGATGCTGAATAAGGGTTATGGATAAAGAGGTGAAATTTAATGAGGCTTTCAATTTCTGGGGGTTTTCTTTGTGTCCTCAACTACAGTGTTTGGGACCTAGATAACTTCGGATTTCAGGCAGTTCTGCTTCGTAAATCTACCTAATGGCATTATCATACTTGACAAGAATATTTGTGGTCAGGATTTAGTGGTTAATAAAATACTATACCACTTGTTTTGAAGTTCAGTATAATAAAGTGTGATGGGCAACAGATTTGTATCCCTGAGAAGGAAAAGCTGTTGCTGTAAGCCCAAGCAAATACTTGATGTTAACATTTTCGTGTTATTTGGAGAGATTAGTCCTGCTACCGCATCAGAAATGAAGACCTAGGCAGGGTCTAGAGTGATTGCGTTGTGCGGTGAGAGAGCACTGTACCAGAATCGAGACCCATGTTCTCGTTCTGCCGCTGACAAGCAGTGGGACCTTTGACGAGTCACGTCAACTCTTCGGGCTTTAGTTTTCTCTTGTAACTTAATGGGAGTTGAACTGGATTACCTCACAAGAGCCATCTTACAGTTGTGACGTTATGTTTCAATGATAAATGGATTTCTTGTACTTAAAAGACTATAAGTGAAAGAATACAGAGAGCAGCCAAATCTGCCAGATGCTTTCCCTTGTTTCTCACTTAATCCTCATAACTATCCTGTGTTATAGGTGGTTCCATCCCTACTCTGCAGATAATGATAGCGACCATTTTTTGAACATGTGTGCCAGGCACTGTGCTAAGCTCTTTACAGACATTCTCTCACTCAGTCCTCCCAACAACCCTCTGAGGTGGGTACTGTAATCCCCATTGTTCAGATGAGGAAACTGAGCCTTAGACAGCATAGAGCTTGGCCAGAATCCTACATGGCTAGTACATGGCAGAGTTAGATTTCAAGCCTCAAGTGTCCCATTGCAAAGCCAGTTCCATTAGCCACTATGCTGTCATGCTGACTGAGAGTGAAGAGGCTAAGGCAAGAGCAGTTAAGAGCTATGAAGTGGCAGAGTCAGTGTTTGGACTCTTTTGTTTCTATTCTAGGTCCTACGCACCTTCCAGTATATTCTGTCACTGTATGTTCCAGTTTGTTGAGAGTCAGCGAATGTAAAACTGGCATCAATTTCTGATATCAAGAGTTACTTGACTTTGGAGCACCTGGCTGGCTCAGTTGTAACAGCATGAGACTCTTGATCTCGGGGTCATGAGTTCAAGCCCCATGTTGGGCATAGAGATTACTTAAATAAATAAATCTCTAGAGAAAAAAAAAAAAGTTGACTTTAAAATCAGTTGTCTCTGGCAGATTCAGTGAGCTTATGTAATTTCTCAGAACAAATGAGTGTTTTGCCTTTTGCTCTCTGCCTGTAGAAGCCGCCCATTTTTGAGTGTGTGATCGTAGAGGCGCCCTCCAGCGGCAGCTCCAGGGAGAGTTCTGTGCTGAGTAGCAATCCGGGCACGTTTCTCTCCACCTGTCATTAAGGCTTCAAAATAAGGAGTGCCCCCTGGTTGCCTAAAATTGCCTGTCTGCTCCTATAATGATGGTTAGATATTAACATGCTCTCATCCCAGGAGTGCAGGGTAGAAATGCCATTTTCCCACAAACAGAATATAACCTAGATGTGATTTACCTAGATGGATTGTCAAATTCCTATCTTTGCTAAGGTTTTTCAGGTTTTTTGTAATTTGCTTGAATGATCTCTAGTTTTTCAGATTGTGCTGACACCTGAACTCACCTGTGTGTTTTCTCTTTGCTGTTAATAGGTATCATTAATATTTGATTTCAAGCATCTGCCATCAGTACCAGTTGGGCAGCTCTGGGTGGAAATGCTTCGATTCTATGCTTTAGAATTCAATTTGGCTGACTTAGTGATCAGTATTCGTGTTAAAGAATCTGTATCTCGGGAATCAAAGGATTGGCCCAAAAAGCGCATTGCCATTGAAGGTATCTCAGAACATTTATTTTTAATTCCTTGTCTTTTTAAGGTACCAGGCTAACCGCGTGCTTTTTACTTCATTCTCCTTTCAGCCTCCACGTGTAATGTAGGCCTGATCCCAAAAGTGAAATAGTTAGAATCTTGCATGTGTTACTGTGGTCATTCCAAGGGATCAAGCTGTTTGTTCATCCTGGGTTTTTTAAGCACTGCAGTAAAATGTCTTAGTTAAAAAACAGCTAAAACAGTGGCTGGCCGAGTCCTTGCTTTCTTTGTAAATTGCTTAACGACTTAACCGCTCCTTCCCCGCCGCCAACCCTGATGTGTGAATCCCCCTTTCCTCTTTACTGTTCTCATTGTTGGATTTTTTTAGATTCAGTCATTTCCTGGATTGTTGTGTTCATTTAGTTTTATGAAGGTGAGAAAATACTTTTTCTCATGAAAAATAATTGTTCATTGGATTCCTTTTCATAGAGAGAAGGGCTTGTTATTTTTGGAATATCTACAGTAGCATTTGGAACTGATTCATGAAAACATTTTTTCTAGCAAAGGCTCATTTAACTAAAACCATTGTATGAAAGACTTGCTGATGTGCCCTGTAGACTACATTAAATGGACTAGCTCTTCTCAGCTTTGCAGAGTCAGGAGGTTGAAACCCCTCTAGAAATCTTAATTCTCCTCCTTCAGACAATTTAAAGAACCTCCTAAATGGAATTCTCATATTTTTGCTTGATTTTTTTCAAGCTTTATATTGCATAAGAGGGTTTTTGGTGGTTTTTTTTTTGTTTTTTTTTTTGTTGTTTTTTTTTTTTGCATTTTGCATTTTGCATAAATTCTGTGTGCAGTCATGGGGATCTCACATTTTTAAACCCTCCCCTGCAGTTTCTCTGGCTCAGCTCTTCTGGCCAATTGCCTAACCTGCTGGAGTTCTAGGGGAGGAGAAAAGATTGAGAGAAGTGGTGTCTCCTCCTGGTGCCTCCCTCTCGCCCCTGAATTCAGTCCAGCCAGTTCAGTGATGGGGCTTCCCAGGGCAGAAGAGTGGAGGTAAGCTCTACACACCACAGGGCCTGGCTGAGTGGGGAGGCAGAGCACTCAGCAGAGCCTGGTGGGAAGCCCTCACTTCCCCAAGGCACAAGAGCCACACAGATTACACCTTTTTTACCTCCACAGTCACAGAACAAAATAGGGAAGGGGTATTGGTTCAGAACAGAACGGGTACTCTTCATAGAACAGACGTTTAAGGAAACATTTCTTTTTGTTCTTAAACTACCTCTTTCTTATTTCCCATCCCCAATTTTTAAAAAAGCATACAAGATTCATGCTAAACTTTAGTATCGTTTGTTGTCTATTTTTATCTACAGCAGGCTAATTTTTAAAACATGAGATAGAAATGTATGAAGTGGTGGATTTTTCTTTCTTTTTTTTTCGTTACAGATCCCTACTCTGTTAAAAGAAATGTGGCAAGGACTCTAAATAATCAACCAGTGTTTGAATATATACTTCATTGTTTAAGGACAACGTATAAGTATTTTGCCCTTCCACACAAAATTACAAAATCCAGCCTTCCAAAGCCTCTGACTACTGTCATATGTCTTTCCGAACATTCTAAAGAAGTAGCCGAGCATGACCCGAGTACACAAACAAAAGAGGATAAACTGAAAAACTCAGTTTTGGCTCAAGAGCCAGGTGCTGCCATTTCAACTACAGACACCTGCACGGTACAGCCGTCGACCCTTGTTAAAGAGACGGCTGAAAGCTTTGGAAGCCCCCCGTCGGAGCAACTGGGAAATGGGCATGTCAGTGTCCGCCTGGAAAACCCAGACCGTGTCAAGGCAGGGGCCAGTTGTGATGAGCAAGGGGATATTAAAGGACACCATCAAGAAACGGGAAGTGAAACTGGGAGAGAGGGCAAGCATCCTTTGACGGCCGATGATCAAGGTTTAAGGAGTCGCAGACGTGGAGAGTTTGTCATCTGTGGCAGCGCGCGAAACAATGAGACAGAGAGCGCCTTGCATTTAGAAGGCTTCCGAAATCCCGCGGCCAAAGAGTGTGATGCATTCACTGCTTCGGAGGACAAGGCTGATGTTGATGAAGAAGGCATAGAAGGTACCGATGATCTCGAAGATGCTCTAAGCCACTTCACCCCCTCAAGACAGGGCCATACGTCAGGAATCATTCATTCCGATGAAGAGGAGGAGGAAGAAGAGGAAGAGGATGACGATGAAGAGCCCAGGCTGTCCGTTACCCAAAGGGAAGATGAGGATGACTTGGCTAATGAAGATGAGTTAGAAAATACGTACACGGGATCAGGGGACGAGGATGCCCTGTCTGAGGAGGAGGATGAATTAGGGGAGTCTGCTAAGTGCAAAGACTCGAAAGAAGGTGGAAAACCTGCAGCTGGGGCTCTACTAACAGAATTTAATAAAATCTGTCTTAAAGAAGAAAATACATGTGAGGAAGGCTCAACTGTGGATCAGTCTGATTTCTTCTATGAATTTAGTAAACTCACCTTCACCAAAGGCAAGGTAATCAGTGCCACTCAGTGCCACTTGGTGCCACAGAACTAATAGACATTAAACATTTTTTTTAAAATATTTTATTTATTTATTTGACAGAGATCACAAGTAGGCAGAGAGAGAGGAGGAAGCAGGCTCCCTGCTGAGCAGAGAGCCCGATGTGGGGCTCGATCCCAGGACCCTGGGATCATGACCTGAGCCGAAGGCAGAGGCTTTAACCCACTGAGCCACCCAGGCGCCCCAAGACATTAAACTGTTTTAATGCATGTAATTTTAATTTTCGTGTACTAGAACAGAGCTTTCCCATGTCTCGTGGTAGTGAGGAGTTGGTGCAGTCCAATACAACCACTGGATCGCCTTCCCTCCTTAGACCCGTGCGAATTTGCATTGGAGAAAGGGAATGCTCTTGGTAGTGGAAATTACTACCTTTTACTCCTGAGTATCCCATAAGATGTCCCCGTTTGGCTGCACATTATTTTTATTCCTTTGGCAAGAGAGAGTAGACTGTGGACTTCTCAAAAAATGATTCAGGGCCCCTTTATTTGGCAGAGTTGTATCTTACATCTTGTTTTGCTTTGCCACCTTCCTGCAGTCTCCTATGGTCGTGTGCAGCTTATGCAAACGAGAAGGTCATCTCAAGAAGGACTGTCCCGAAGACTTCAAAAGAATTCAGCTAGAACCTTTGCCACCACTGACACCCAAATTTTCAAATATCTTAGATCAAGTTTGCATCCAATGTTATAGTAAGTTATTCATATTTCTTTTCATTTGTCAAAATATTGCATTGACATTGGCTCAAGAGTCCGCAGAATCACTGACCTGTTAGCTCCGTCACGGAGACCGGATCTGTTCCATTCTCCACTGTGTCCATGGAGCTCTCTGTAATGCCTGTGCCAGTTGAGACTCACAGTAAACAATTGTTGAAGGAAAGACAGGATGGGAGGGAGGATCTTTTATTCTAACTGTTGGAATACTAGCATTCCCAGCTGGTTTTCCTTGAACTGTCTTCCTAAGTGCAGTTAATAGTATCTCTTGGCAAGGAGTGCTGCACAGGTCAAGTAGGGAAGGAGTGTGCTTGCTGCTCCCCCTGGGGGAGAGTTGTGGGGCAAATTAGCATAATAATGGCCTCTGAGAAATGTTGCGTGAAAAACTTATTTAACTCTTCATCCCAGCATTTCCAAAATCTGAGCATAAAATACTTTAATTAACACTTATTAATGGCCCCCTAACAGCCCTTTGAGGAATACCAATTTGGGGAAGCAGATGGTTAGAGTTAAAGGAAAAACACTGAAAGGAGAAGCAGGCCTCTCTTCAGATGAACTTGATGCATCGCTGTGCTACCTCCTGAGGGAGCTGTGCTGGAAGGCACTTATTAACCAGTGACTGAGTCGTTTTTAAACCTTTTAGGAGCTTATAAGCTATAAAAGGAAACTAGATTCCCCTTAGAAAACTATATATATATGCACATGCTCACAAACTTCTGTCCCTGAGGGCCACCTTTATAGAACCCTGGCTTTCTGAAACCTCATAGCAGAACCTCTGTTCAGATTCCTGGGAACAGATTCATTCATTCATTCTTTCTTTTAATTATTTTTTATTTTGGGGGGGTATAATACATTATTAATTTTTTAATTTTTTCCTTTTAATTTAAAAAAGTCAGTTAACATATAATGTATTATTAGTTTCAGAGGTAGAAATCAGTGATTAATAGTTGCATATGTACTCAGTGCTCGTTACATCATGTGCCCTCCCTAATGTCCGTCACCCAGTTACCCCATCCCTCCCATACCTTTCCCCTCCGGCAAGCCTCAGTTTGTTTCCTATGATTTAGAGTCTCTTACGGTTTGTCTCCCTCTCTGATTTTGTCTTTGTTTGATTTTTTTCCTTCCTTCCCCTCTGATCCTGTTTTGTTTCTTAAATTCCACATATGAGTGAGATCATATGATAATTATCTTTCTCTGATTGACTTACTTCACTTAGCTTCATAGCCTCTAGTTCCAACCACGTCATTGCACATGGCAAAATTTCATTTTTTGAGACTGCATAGTATTCCATCATATATATGTACCACAGCTTCTTGATCCATTCATCTGTTGATGGACATCTGGGTTCTTTCCATAGTTTGGCTATTGTGGACATTGCTGCTATAAACATCCAGGTGCACGTCCCCGTTTGGATCACTACATTTGTATCTTTGGGGTAAATACCCAGTAGTGCGATTACTGGGTCCTAGGGTAGCTCTATTTTCAGTGTTTTGAGGACCCTCCATACTGTTTTCCAGAGTGGCTGCACCAGCTTGCTTTCCCACCAACAGTGTAAATGGTGGGGACAGACTATTTTCAAAGAAAGACATTCTCTATTTTATATTACTAATGCTATCTACCAAGAAGACACATGGAATTTAGTTTTCTTTTTAAGTTGTTAGATTTTGTTTTATAAAATGATTTTTTTTCTCCAGAGCACATGAACAATCTTTGCTTCTAAATTTTTTTTTTTTTTTTAATTTTAAACAGAGGATTTTTCTCCAACTATTTTAGAAGATCAAGCTCGTGAGCATATTCGGCAAAACCTAGAAAGTTTCATAAGACAGGAGTTTCCAGGTAAATAACTTTTTACATTTAAGAAAAGAAAAGTAGCATGACCTTCCTTCAAAATGAGTACATGTGTTACAAGCACATTAACTTGGAGAATGAAAAAGAATGGTGATGGTGGGGACAGGGCTTCAGTTACTTTATGATACGCTGAGGATGGTATTTGGTCTGCCCGATCCTACTTTACCAACAGTGAAGACAGTAGCAGTATGGGATTTCTGTTAACAGACCCCACAATTGAAATCTCATTTTATGTTCTTTTTATTTTTTTTTAAAGATTTTATTCATTTATTTGACAGAGAGATCACAAGTAGGCAGAGAGGCAGGCAGAGAAAGGGTGGGGTGAAGCAAGCTCCCTGCTGAGCAGAGAGCCCGATGCGGGGCTCAAGCCCAGGACCCTGAGATCACGACCTGAGCCACTAAAAGCCACAAAAAGACGCTCCATTTTTTGTGTTCTTTTTAAAGTCAAAGTTCACATCTCTAAAAAATGAATATTTAGAAAGCAGTAAAATTACATTATTAAATATACTGATGTGATCCACATTTTCCTTGAACTGTCCTTTCATTTAAGAATAAAGTTTGGCACTTGGTAATCTTTCACACTATATGTAGATTGTATTTATTTAAAGTAAATTTTGAAAAAAAAAATAAATTTTGAGAGGAAAAAGTTTGTAATAAATGAACTGGTTAATAAAAGAACATAATTATAATGAGATTCATATAGCATAATTAACAACTGGGTATTTTTGATTCATGAGAGGGCCATTTTGATCAGATGATTAAATGTATTCAGGTAATTAGTTATTACTTTTCATATATCCCTAACAGGAACTAAATTGAGCTTGTTTGGCTCCTCCAAAAATGGATTTGGGTTCAAACAGAGTGACCTTGACGTCTGTATGACAATTAATGGACTTGAAACTGCAGAGGTACAGTGACCACCTAAAACTTGAATTTGCCGTGGCAGTGTGATTTGACAATCTTGACTGGCAGTACAGCTTGGTGTTTTCCAAATCTATCAGCAATACCACATGGAGTACGCCATTTGGCACAGTCTCTCTGGTCAGATACTTAAGAAGCTTAGAGGTAAATGTGAGGAGGTACCAGGGTGTGTATTTTCAACATATAGTACAGAGAGGATTTGAAAGCGGCCTGTGGGAACACTACCAGGCCAAACCAGCCCCTCCGGTGTCCCATTGACATGGCCAGTGGGCGGACGTTGATGCACACACCCACAGGAGGCTTTTTGAAAAGTGTTTTAGGAAGCAGGCAGTGTGGTCTTCTGAGACTTGTTTATTAGGCAAGCAAATGTACCATGATAAGAACGCTAACCGTACAGTTGAGAGACCCAGATTCAAGACAGGCTTGCTTCATATGTCCCTAACCACGTGGTCTTTGGTTGGTAATCTGTAAAAGGAAAGCGTGCCCTCTGCTCCTCGTGCCTCAGGAGATTTGCCCTGCACCTCACCTTGGATCATGTATGTCAGGAGTCAGCGGACTACAGCCCACAGGCTAAAGCCAGCCTATTGCCTGTTCTGTCAGAAACAGAGCACAGTCACATGCCTCCATTTGTGAAGTGGTTTTTTTTGTTGTTTTTGTTTTTTTTTTAAAGATTTTATTTATTTATTTGACAGACAGAGATCACAAGTAGGCAGAGAAGCAGGCAGAGAGAGAGGAGGAAGCAGGCTCCCCGCTGAGCCCCGATGCGGGGCTCAATCCCAGAACCCTGGGATCACGACCTGAGCCGAAGGCAGAGGCTTTAACCCACTGAGCCACCCAGGCGCCCCCATTTGTGAAGTGTTGATGGCCTCTGCGTTCGTTCGATAATGACAGAGTTGAGTAGTTACAACAGGATCATACGGCCTACAGAGCAGAAGAGGTTTTCTAGCCCCTAACAAATTTAAGGCCTTTATAAAATATAAAATACTGCATAAAGATATAAAGTCTGAGAAGTGCGAAGTCCCTTTTTTATTTTTAACAACAGCCCAAACACTGTATAGCCAAAAATGAGTGACGTTGCTGTCACTCAAGGTCTTTTTATGTCTTTGCTTACTTTCAAATCTTTGTCTTTTGAGGATGTATCTGTTTTGGGAGAATAGCCAAAAGTTAGCTACCCTGAGTTTGGTGAGTAAAGAGGATAAGCAGGATTGGGTCCAATAATTGGAATTACCTCATTGTATGTACAATATTCAATATTGAATTTTTACATAACTTAGAAACGAGCTTTATGGTCATTTCTGAAGGAAAATTTCCAGTACATTCTGGGATGTGTGTAGCCATCAAAAGGGTTTATGTTGTAAAAGGTGAGCCCAATGTTTTTAAGTATGATTTATTTGGAAAATTTGGATTTGCTGTATGACTTTCATTTGTGCATTATACACAGCCCTGTGGAGGGATTATCTGAGCTTAATCACTTTCCACAGCTGTTCGTCAGCTCTTAGCTGAAATATAATGAAAGCCCACCCAGAATGAACAAAACAGGGCACAGAAGCTCCGTCTTCTTTACTCTGGCACAGAGGACACTTCTGAGTAGCAGAGTTACATAGAGGGGGCAAATGAAGGTCCTCATTTGGACAATGGTTCAGACTTTTCTGGGACATCTGATTTCAGTCTCTCTTAAACCTCCAAAAACAATTTTAGTAAATAGGGTCTGTGAGAGTTTTTGTATCCTTAGGCTTTTTCCTATGAATACTGACCAAGGCTTGCCTAGGAGGGAAAAATGTATATAGAATGAGTTGAAATTAATATCATTATTTCTGAAGGTAATGGAAACTCTGTAACCAGGTTAGGAACCTGTCTTTCCTTTGTGATTCAGCACATGCACTTTTTGTTGCAGGGGTTGGACTGTGTAAGAACTATTGAAGAACTGGCAAGAGTCCTCAAAAAACATTCAGGTACCTCAGCAAACTTTGTCTAAAAATATTTTTGTCTTCTTTATCGGTGTTTTGCATACTTAAAATTTGTCCATGCCAATGCAACAAATAAAGTTGCGCACGTAGGGTACATTTAGAGAGTCAGTGTCTTTCAACAATTTTGTGTGATGAAGTAGGAAAGAATCGGTAATCATTTGTGTGCGTTTTGTTGCCTAGCTGAGTTTTATTTCAGAACAAAGCATATACCATACAGGCAAGAAATTTTGGAAATCCATTTCGCTGTATTGACCTTGTGTAAGTCCAAGTGTTGCTGGCAGCGGTGTGAAGCGTAGTGGAAAGCACTGGGGGGTTCTGGACTGTCTTTGTGCTGCTTGACAATTACATGGGGCCCTGAACAAGTAATTTAACTTTATGCTCTCTTTTTCTCTCACCAATAAACTGAGAAAACTGAACTGGGTCACTACTAAATTTTTATAGCTGTAAATTGTGCCCACTGCTGCCATGCCGTTAATGAATCCTTTTGCTGTCAGAGACAGCTATGGATGCTGTTGACAGTGGGTATTTTCTTTTTAAATGTGGTTCAGCAAATTTCTGTGCTAGGAGCTGGGAATGAAGGTGAACACAATATGGTCTGTGACCCCCATAAAAGTAAAACTCCATGGTCTGTCCATGAGATGCTTTCTTTTAGAGGAAAGCAGCAAACATTGTATAACGAACTGTGTGTGTCCTTCATTCAGAGCCACCAGCTGTTAACATTTTACTACCTTCGATTTATCATCGTCTTCTTGCTTGATCACAATTTTTTTCTGTATCATGTGAGATTAAACTGCAGACATGTTCCTTTCACCTAAATACAGCAATGTATCTATCTTAAGCATGAACTATGTTAAAAACAGGTCATTTTTAGACTGAAACGACTTATACACACAGATGGTAATGGAACACAGATTACATGGAACAAGAATTGTAAATAATAGCTAAAGGGCTATGATTGAAACCTAATATCATTAAAACAGTCCCCAGCTATCTTATTGGGTGCCTACTATGTGCTCAGCACTGTATTGGGCACTTAGGGATGGTGGAGAAATAAAAAGTCTATACAAGCCTTTTCCTTGGGCAACTTTCAGATTTAAAACAAGGGAAGGTAACCTCATAGACCATGTAATGATGTAAGGCAGTGTTCATTTTTCAGAACAAGTCGGAAGCTACTGTAAGTATTCAGTAAGTTCTGAGGAGAGAGAGGTTCTGGGAAGGAGTTACATAGGGGAGATTCATGGAAGAGATGGGTTTATGCTGATCTCAGGTGATGCTGAATATGATTTGAGAAGGCTCTTCTCCCAGAAGAGAAGTCATTCCTGAGAGTGCACGTGTGTGAGCATGAGAGTTACTGCAGTGTATCTGGGAGGACAGTGGGAAGATCAGGACATCTAGAGAGGAGTTTCAGGTGGTTCTTATTACTCGTTAAGGTAAAGTCTGCAGATGCTTGGAAACCAGTGAAGTTTCTTCCAAGAGAGGAGCAACCCGATAAAAGCAAAACTTAAGCTTTGTCGTCAGCTGGTAGAGTCTCTCAGAGAAGGTATACTCTAAGTGAATTCAGGGCCAAAGGACCTTAACCAGGTGCTAATGATCCTAAAAGGGAAAAGGACAGGAGAGATTCCCAAGGGGATGTGGTACCTGCAAGAAAGAAAGAAGGGTTCGGACTGATGTTAGGTACTTGAGAAACGAGTGTTTGTAAGAGGACACCACGTGGAGGTGTGTAGTTTGCCATGAAGGTATAATCTCCAGGAGTTAAAAGTCCAGCAAGCAATTAGAAATACAGAGTTGTTGGTCAGGATTAAAGAACAAAAGAAAAAATTTTTCATTGAAATCCTTGAAGAGAAAGAGAGAGAGAGACCAAGAATAAAACAGAATTCTTAGGGATCCTTTGAGAGAAGTTAAGGACAATTCCTGTGAGTAGAAATTAAGAAAGGACATTGAAAAAGGCACCATTGGAATGACAAGAACCAGAATGATGTGCTGGGAATAGACCATAGCGGACAGGCTGGTAATGGACAACCGTGTCAAATTCTAGAATGGGAAGGAGATGGAGCGTAGAGCTCTCTAATTTAGTTGCGATATAGCAGAGTAGTTAGTGGGGGTTCTGGAGTCAGACTCTCTGGTTTTAAATTTTGGCTCTCCACTTGTGTGGAAATATTTATAATCTCTATATTGGATATAGTCTGGTTGTGTGTTCCCAGAAAGACACTCAACCTCATTTTAAGTACTTGGTTCCTCATCTACAAAGTAGAATAACAATAATAGCGTTCAAGGTTAAGAAAGGTGGTACGTTAAAGTACGGAGTCTAGCATATGCCAGGGATTCAGTAAATATGACCTACCTTGCCCCACCTCCCCATCAGGAAAAGTTAGACCTCCTCTATCTCCCACACAGACTTTTTGTGTTGTAATTTCTATCATCTACATACTTTCCACCTGAACTTTGGATCACTATGTATCTGCCCTCCGGATACCACCACTCACCTGTTTGAGAAAAAACTCCAACTCCATCTCAGAATGAACTCCTCTTTCTCTTTACTGCCTTCCTGCTGCTGCAGCTTCCACTACCTGCCCTTTCCTCTGAATCTACTTTCTCCGTCGTTGACACTGACATTCTTGGAATCACCAAAATGGGTGAAGCAATGACTAATTCATCCTAGAATAGGTTCAGTAGAAATTTGGAGTTGGTCACACCTACATGCAAATTTCAGCTCTGCAACTTACTAGCTCCATGTTCCTAAGCAAATTAATATTTCTAGGGCTTTGTACTCTCCATCTGTTGGATGAGGGTGAACATTCTTAGGAGGTGGTGCTTGTGAAGGATTGTGGGTCTGAAGGAACTGGTGGTGCTTACTGTTACAGCCCTCCTTCTTCTCCCTTATCCCCCCTATTTCCATGTCCGCTCCCCTTATCTCCACTTCCCTAGCTAGTCCAGGTGTATATTCTCCAAAGCATGTCTTGCTGCTTCTCCGCACCACATGCCACCAAGATAGTTGAGCTCCAGATAGATCATTTTTCATAATGGTCACTGTGCCCCTCTGGTTGGTGTCTCCAGTCTCCATTGCCAGGGTGTTGTGCAGATAGATGAGGTCAGTGTTTCTCCCCAACTTACACAGTTCATTGGTGTCTCCTTGCCTCTAAGGATAATTCTTAGCAGGATATATATGTTCTCTATAGGCTCTTCCTGGTTTCTGCCCCACCTCCTATCACTCATTGTTCTTTTCCCTAAAGTCTACTCTATAGCCTTCACAATTCCATGGAAGTTCTCGAACATGCCCTTCTGCTTTAGGCGTCTGCCTTGTGCCTGTGTATATGTCCTTGTAAATCCCCTCAGTTGCCTCTATCTTTACCTGTCCCTCTCCTTTTTCAAAGCCTAGGTCAGGCAATTTCCTCTCCTATTGAAGTTGATTCCTTTCTTTTATCATCTTAACTTCTAGCTCTGTGATGAGTAATTTTTGTTTTGAGGATTTGGATGATTGCCCCAAAGGCTTTTCTCTATATTAGATGTAGTCAGGTGAGAAGAATAGGGAGGGCCCATGTAGCCAAGACTCTGTAGTAGTCTCTTCTGTTCTGGTGTTTATGAGACTGACAGCCCTATATGCATGCTCGTGACCCAGTGAGTTCCTGGAGAGCACTGGCTGCCTTGTTCATCCTTGTACTTCAGATATCGATATCTTTCACTAATACAGACTTTGCCAGAAGAGTCTTCCCAGACGTTGAATAACAGAATTGAGTAGTTCCAGTGACTGCAGTGAAATAGACCAGTTAGGTTTACATCATTTTATATTCGAACATTAACAAGAGTAGCTTATGGCCCAGCTGCTGTATTTCACAATACTTACCTTATTCCCAACCTAGGTCTGAGAAACATTTTGCCTATCACAACAGCAAAGGTGCCAATTGTAAAGTTCTTCCATTTGAGAAGTGGTCTGGAAGTGGACATCAGTTTGTATAACACACTGGTAAGATTTTCTCTAAGCTTTTTCTTTAGGGAGATCAAGGGGAACAAATCTCTCTTAATTTACAAAATCTCAAGTAAAATTAAGCCTTTTTTTTAATCTTATTCATTTTTTTTTTAAAGATTTTATTTATTTATTTGACAGACAGATCACAAGTAGCCCGAGAGGGAGGCAGAGAGAGAGGAGGAAGCAGGCTCCCCGCTGAGCAGAGAGCCCGATGCAGGGCTCAATCCCAAGACCCTGGGATCACGACCTAAGCCAAAGGCAGAGGCTTTAACCCACTGAGCCACCCAGGCACCCCTCATTCTTTTAATCATTATTTAGTAGCGCTTGCTGTGTGCCTAGCAGTGTTCTAGAGACGGGATGTAACAGAGAGTTGCTCATATTTATTTAAAGTGAGGTCAGAGTGGCAGGTGCTTTTAGTTTGGCTTGAAGTTTGTTTAATTTTGTAGAGTATGTCTGTCTTTGGTCCCATAGTTGGTTTGCTTTGGAGCTTTATGGACCTTCTCTGGATCCTAGGGGCATTCAGTTTAAATAATGCCAGGGTGAGGTGGAGGACTCCTAACATCTACTTAGACAGAATTACCTTAATAGCCCTTATTTCTAGGAATGTTCAGACTAAGGACATATTAACATAATGGAAGTCGTGAGCTCAGATATCATTTATAATTCTTATTATTAGTAAGTTAATGAAGCTCTGTTTTGGGGGAAAATATATTGGTTTCAGTCTAAAGGTCTTCAGTCTGAAGTGAATTACAGTATAAACCTTTTCAGAATATTCCAGCCTAAAATTTTTTCTTCTAATTAATCCCTTATGGTGTAATTTTCCTTTTAACAGGCCCTTCATAACACAAGGCTCTTATCTGCTTATTCAGCCATTGATCCCAGAGTTAAATATTTATGCTACACCATGAAAGTCTTTACAAAGGTGAGTATCCTTCCTGTTGGGATTCATCAGGAAATTTCACTGCATCTTCAAACCTAGGTGAAAACATAAGTCTATATTTTTTAAGGACCCATGACTGTATTAAATGTTTCCTTTAACTACTTTGGGAAGCCTGCCATAGCAAGCTACAATTTTATCATCTTAAATTTCATATATGATAATCTGATCTTGCTTGTGGCTGTTGGTTGGGGTTTTTCTTTTGTTTTTGACATCCTTTTCGGTGGTCTTGTTTGGTTTTGGTGACATACCTTAGCATTTGAAGATGTAATTTTCATATTACTGCCCTATAGAAGCACCTTACTTTTAGTGATAATAGGATAGCTGCAAATTTAGCAGAAAACATTGGTGATGTTTTCTTTGTTCCTCGCTTTCCTTCCCTCTAGATGTGTGATATTGGTGATGCATCTAGAGGCAGCTTATCGTCATATGCATACACGCTTATGGTGCTATATTTTCTCCAGCAGAGGAATCCACCAGTCATTCCTGTCCTTCAAGAGGTATTAGTAAAAGAAATTGTGTTTCTCACCTGTAAAGCTGGGTTGCCTTTGAGCCCTCTTCCTTCTCTAGTATTCTGTGGTTCTGTAGTTAAATATTTAACTATTTTCCTACAAGTTTTTGTATCAATGCATTAAATTTGTAATCCATACTAATAGTTTAAAAATTAATTTCAGATATACAAAGGTGAAAAGAAACCTGAAATATTTGTTGATGGCTGGAATATTTATTTTTTTGATCAAATAGATGAACTGGTACGTATTTTAAGAGTAAAGATTTTTTTACATCCTTGACTAAAAGTTAGCTATATTATGCTGTGGTGTCATGTCAACAACTATATTATCACTTGTTATATTTATCTATATTATGATAGTGAAAAACTAGCATATACAGATGTTTCCTTTGAAGTTGAAAACGTTTTTATTAAGCCAGGTGAGTTTCAAGGGACTGTATCTAGGATTCCTTTAATGCCTGTCAATTCCAAATGGTTATGTAACTTTATTCCAAGTGAATATTTGCCAAGTGGTTTTTGGAGTTTGAAAAGACTTTCTTTGAGTTCAAAGATCTAATAACCCAGGCATCATCAAGGCTCTTAAAATTTATTTCCAGATGCTTCTACAAACATGCATTCTGGGGTTTGACATTTAAAACCCTGAGCTCTCCCTGTCTCTGAGACACAGGGTAGAGATTAATAAACTCATAAATGATATTTAAAAATGTGAAAGAAAGTAATGTAATTATGTTTTTATGTATTTTAATTCCAGTTAATTAAAGTAAATCCAAACTTATTCCCTAAGATACAAAGGAAGATAGATATTAACACTTTACTATAGAGCATGATATCTCTTGTTCCCTTCTATTTCTAGCCCACCTATTGGCCAGAATATGGGAAAAATACAGAATCTGTTGGGCAACTATGGTTGGGACTTCTTCGATTCTACACAGAGGAATTTGATTTTAAAGAACATGTTATTAGCATCAGGAGAAAAAGTCTGCTTACAACTTTTAAGAAACAGTGGACCTCAAAATACATTGTTATTGAAGGTACAAATAAAATGAAACTTAAAATGGTTTAGAATATAGAGTTGGAACTATGAGGGCATTGTTTTTCATCCCTGCAGAGCTCTTCCAGAACGTCCGGGAGCCACTGGTTGGGATGGGCAGCACAGCCTTCCTATTACTGTCCACATCAGCACACTTGACTCTTTCCAGTATAAAGATTTATTTTTAAGTGACCCAGGTCCTCCTATGGGCCCTCTCACCAATTCAGAAGTCTTTTGACCAGGACACATCTTTGATTTTTGTTGAACATCTTCTGGAGAATAAGTCTGCAATAGAGATAAGGCAGCTTCAAAAGAGTAGGACTTTTAACACCTTCCGAATTGAAGACGGGGCACTAAGAATGAATTTTCAGGATCCTCACTTGCTCTTTATTCATTAAGGAGTTTACGTATAAGTAATTATATATAAATTTTAACATTTCTTTTGCCCAAGCTGAAGCCTTTTCTTCCCACTGAATGCAAGGATCCATGGGCCATATATGTTTATAGTTGATTATTTATTTGCAATTTGTGTGATTTTAAATTTAGGGACAAAATGAAGTTTAAATGCTTAAAACTGAACTGAGAAATGGCTAAGAAATATTTCATTGATTTTAATCTTTTTAATTTTTTAAAAAATATACGGATTAGCTAAATAACGTGTTACTCTACGTTCTGTTTCCATCGTTACTTCTGCCTGTTGGCAGTATAATAATACTGTGAACATTTATAAAGTTAAATTCAGATCACTGTGGCTTTAGATAGGGTTTTAATGTTTTAGGATCTCATGTGTCAAAAACATAGAACTTTGTCTTAAACCTTTCCATTATCACAGTGGATTCTTATGGTCTCCAGTTGTTCATATTTTGTTTTTAATTTTTGAAGTCTCTTAATCTTTTACTTCTCATTTTTACATTACTTTCAGATGAACCATTAATAATAGGCTAAGTGAGAAAGAAACCTTTTAACCAGCTATTCTAGAATGGAGGAATTTCAGGGGTGGCGACAGCAGCAGTGATTATAACTGTCCTGTAGCTTAATATCACAGTGTCTCTGCTGCATTAAGCAAACAACCAAAAATACTTCCACATACACACATGTGAAAGTCACAAGAAGGAAGCATGATCAAACCTACTAGGAAGGAAGGGACAGCTGGGTGGCTCAGTGGGTTCGGCTCAGGTCATGGTCCTGGGGTCCTGGGATCGAGCCCCGCATTGGACTCTCCACTCAGCGGGGAGCCTGCTTCCTCCTTTCTCTCTCCTCCTACTTGAGATCTCCGTCTGTCAGATAAATAAATAAAATCTTAAAAAAAAAAAAAAAAAACCAAAACCCTACTAGGAAGTAACGTTCTAATAGCAGTTATTAGTGTAGGATCAAATTGAACAAAGGCTCCTCTACTCTGGGAACCTGTTAGTGAGTCTGAATCCAGAATGGTGTGCCCCAGTTATTGTTCATTAGAAGCGTAACAGACAACTTTAGGATGCCCCTTTTCACTTCTGTATTCTTTTTTTATCTACTGTATACAAGCAGTCTTCGATTCTTGATCCCTAAAAAGGGTTTTGAGGGTTTTTTTCCTTTGCTTTTCTTCAGTGTTTTTAGGTATTTATTGGAAATAAATATCTACACATAATATTCAAAGTATGAATTATTACATATGTATATTATATATAAAATATTTTAATTTAGAAAGTACTTTATCTCCATTTATTTCATGAATAAGTTTTATTCAGATCTTGAATAAATCTTACATCAGCATTTTTTTTCATCATTCCCACCACTTTCTGGGCCGTCTAATAGATAATATTCCAGAGTACAACATATACATACCTATCTAAGACTTTGTAATGCAGACCTTTAACATCATAGAGGAGTCCTTTATGAAGATTTCACTAAAAACTGAGGTCCAGGAAGCCATTGGTATGCCGTTGGGACAGGTGCATGTGTCTTAATTTGTCTTGTAACTGTGTTTTATGATCTTCAAGATGACTAACGTGATCCTTAAAACACTTGTTAGTTAGCAGGAACATTTAGCACTAAAATGGTCTAAATATATTTGTGACCTCTTTATGCTTCCCAGACTAGCACCATTAGATCATACGCAACTAATATGTCTCCAAACAATATATTGTTGTTCAAAATGAAACAGCTCCTCATAATAGGAAGGAGTCTATACAGATTCAAATATAAAGCAACACCCTCTCTTCTGATGGACACTTTGGAGAAAACGCTTGACTTATATTTAGGAATTGATATTACTTAGCTGTATTGCATATTGGAAACTCATTAAAAAGGCAGTCATTCAATAAAGTTAACCCTTGAACAGCAAGAGGTCGAACTGCACAGGTTCACTTACATGTGAATTTTTTTCAATAAATACAATACAGTAATGTACTCTCTCTTGTGATTTTCTTAACATTTTCATTAATCTACTTTATTGTAAAAATGCAGTATATAATACATATACAAAATATGTATTAATCACCTATGTTATAGGTAAGGCTTCTGGTCAATAGTAGACTGTTAGTAGTTAAGTTTCGGGGGACTCAAAAGATATGCGTGGATTTTTGACTATGTGGGAGGTTGTTGCTTCTATCCCCTACATTTTTCAAAGGACAACTATACTTTTACAAATAATAAAGTATGTAACACTTCCTTCTTCTTTTATAGTCACTTAATGTATGAATGGTGGCATTTCCTATTTCATTATCTTTTTGTTCTCATTAATTTTCTTTGCTTAGATCCCTTTGATTTGAATCATAATCTTGGAGCTGGATTATCAAGGAAAAGTAAGTTGCTTTGTTTATAAATGTTATTGTGATCCCTTTTCCTTTTACTCCATCTAATTGAGCACTTACTCTTTCTTCTTAGTGACAAATTTTATAATGAAAGCATTCATTAATGGTAGAAGAGTATTTGGTATTCCAGTCAAAGGATTTCCGAAGGACTGTCCCTCAAAAATGGTAAGTGTCCATTAGAAATACCAAAAATACTGGGATGCCTGGGTGGCTCAGTCAGCTCAGGTTGTGATCCCAGAGTCCTGGGATCGAGTCCCACATCGGGCTCCTAGCTTAGCGGGTAGCCTGCTCCTCCCCCTGCTTGTGTTTCCCCCACCCCCTCTCTGACAAATAAATAATTAAAAACTTCAAAAAAAAAAAAAAAAAAAAAAAAAAAAGGAAAGAAAAGAAATACGAAAAAAACAAAAAAGGTGCTTTATTAATTTGTACATATTACACCAGCAATAAATACTCTCAAAGTCTGGTGAATCTAGCCAAGATAAACAATTGCAATACAAAGCAATTCCAAAAACGTTTTTTTAAACATCTCAGTTCTGAGGCCATTTTTTATTAGGAGAAAAGGGAGAAACAGCCAGAAGTGGAGTTTGGGTGGGAAGATTAGTCATTGTGGTGCTGTTGCTTTGCCTTGGTAACACATGTAGATGGCATTGCTGTTCTGTGGGCATTTGGCTCCATGCCAGCTTCTGCCAAGGCCAGCCTCCACGTGGCTAGGGGTCCTCCACTTACCTCATAGGAAGTCTGGATTTTTCACTTGGATTGCAGAATAATACATCTCTTAATGGGCCTAAGAGAGAGACCAAGCTCTCTGTGCTAGCAAGCTTACTGGTATCCTATAACCTAATACTCAAGATTTGTATGGAACTGGACTCATTAAAAACAAAACACAGTCGCACTGTAAAAATTCCCTTCAGTGAGAGAAAAGGGAGTTAGGAATTAGAGGATTTTTCTGTTCAAGTTATTTTTTTCCAACATTAATTTTTTTTTTTTTTTTTTTTTTTTAATTTGAATGAGAGAGATAGGGAGAGCGAGCACAAGCTGGGGGAAGGAGTAAAGGGAGAAGCAGACTCCCTGCTGAGTGGGGAGCCCGATGTGGGACTCGATCCTGAGACCCTGGGATCATGACCTGAGCCGAAGGCAGACCCTCAACAGACTGAGCCACCCAGGCACCCTAATTTTTTTTTTTTTTAAATAAAGACTTTTTAAATGAACCTTAAGTGCATTTGTGTATATTCAGCACTGGATCCCATCTATGCATCTCCTTTTTGCTGGATATGCTATGGTTGTTTTCTACACCAAGGCTTCTGAAGCTTATTCCTACAGAGCACCTTGGGGATTTTGTTAAAATGCAGATTCTGATTTAGGAGATCGGGGTGGGGACCAAAACTTGCATTTCTTACAGACTCCCAAGTGATCCTGATACTTCTGGTCCTCACCTAAATTTCACTGGCAAGGAGGCTTCAGTCCAGACATTCTCTTTCCTTTCTTCTGATATTTTTCTCCAGAAGCCACAACAAACAAAGAATAGCACATAGCTTCTTTCTTTTTCTCTGTATGTGTAATGCAAATCATATTCCTCAGTTTATTGGATTTTAGCCTTTTCATTTTATGAGAAAGCGAAGCCTTTGTACCTGACCTCAGCCTCCCCCAAGTCCTGGCAAAGCTGACTCATGGGTATGTGTGATGCTCTTGTGTAGAAATGTCCTGGAAAAAACAGGCTGCTTTTGTGGTTAGGGTTAAACCATGGTCTGCATGATGAAAAGGAATAAACCAACATGAATTTAGGTAAAATTATCCTAAAGTAAACCTCTTAATGGTCTTCAATTTTGGAATTAAACAGTATAATAATCATTAAAAAGAGGGTCTCTGATTGATATCTGGTTAGTTTTCATGTTTTGATCTCACTTTAATAGTTCATACTTTTCTGTACTTACGTTCTGTTAGGAGTACTTTTTTGATCCAGAAGTGCTAACTGAAGGAGAGCTGGCCCCAAACGATAGATGTTGCCGAATTTGTGGGAAAATTGGACACTTCATGAAGGACTGTCCAATGAGGAGAAAGTAAGTCAGTGTTCAAAAGGGGTGGTTTCATTTTTACTTTCCTGTTGTACCAGTTTATAAATGAGGTTCTATTGTAACAGAAAATAAACTTGTATTAAATCCAGCAGTTCTCAGATAAAATGATTTTTCACAGTGAAAATGAACTGATTTAAAACATGCATTTAAGCACAGATGACCAGATGTCCCTTGGGTGTACAGATACCAGTCTTCCAGGCCTGCTCCCCTTTCCTCATTTTGGTCACTGCCCCAGTCACTACTCAGTTATTTGGTCGGCAGCCTCTCCAACAGGGATGGCAGAAGAAACAAGGAAAGTAAAATGGGCTCTTCGGGACATCAGTTACACTTCCAGTGTACAGTAACAGGGCTGTACCAGACTCATGTACAGCTTTTTGCCATTTAGGACCCTTCACGTGTACGTGGTTCAACCCTTAATGATTGCTGTGCTGACCCACTCACGTGGGTCAGGATACTTCTGGTGACGTTTGCAGGAGGTGGGGTAGTGTTGATTGCTTGCTTGGGACATACTGTTGTTTTGGATGGTGTGTTGGTCTTGATTGGACCATAATACTCTCATTTAAGACATGCTCTTAAGGCACCATCTGGAATTCGAGGCTCTTATTTAGTACTTTGGTTTTCTATTCAAATAATAGTCACTGCTCATATAGAGCAAGAAAGAAACATGTTTTACATTTTAAGAATATAAATCACCTTACAACCCTTGTTCCCTTGTGAACTGAAAGTTCCACATCTCAAATTTCTAGTGCCTACTAAAAGAATGGGCCTCAGAGTCACAAGAAATCACCCCAAAGATCACGGGAGTTTCTTTACATCCATATCTTAGCAGGTACTGGACCAAGAAGTTCTGCTAACTGCAAACACTGTTTTTATGGCACTAGAGTAGTTGTGAAAATCAAAAAGAAAAACTATACCATCGCCCTGAGGTTGCTTCCTGAAAGAGGAGACGAACTGAAATGTGTTACATTCTTGTTTTTCCCCCTGATACCTTCTGCCTCTGGTTATCTCCCAAACCTGGAGCACCCTTAATATCTTGTCAGGTTTCTGTTTAGATTTTTCCTACCGGTGTTATATCATCTTCTAGAGTGAGACGACGGCGTGATCAGGAAGATACCCTGAACCAAAGATACCCTGAGAACAAAGAGAAGAGAAGCAAAGAGGACAAAGAAATTCAGAACAAGTACACAGAGAGGGAGGTGTCGACAAAAGAAGATAAGCCCATGCATTGCACACCTCAGAAAGCCAAGCCAGTGAGGGCGGCTGTCGACCTGGGCAGAGAGAAAATACTCAGGCCTCCAGTGGAAAAATGGAAGAGACAGGATGACAAAGACTTAAGAGAAAAACGTTGTTTTATTTGTGGAAGAGAAGGGCACATTAAAAAGGAATGCCCACAATTTAAAGGCTCTCCAGGTATGGATCCCGGTCATACCTCAATGTTTGCACTCACATCTCAAGGGAAATCTCTTTTTTAGAGTTTAGAATTCTTTATTATTTTAGTTATATTTATTTCTTTAACAAATCAACTTACTGAAAAAGATTTTTAAGAAAGTGAACCCACCCCCTTTAAATTCAGACCCTCTTAAGTGGCAATTTCATTGAGAGGCTTATAGAAGTCATTTGTTTGACTTTTTCTAAGATTATCCATGAATGGAAAATCCGGTCATCCCCAGTGCCTATAAAATGTAGCCTGTGTGACCAGAAAACAAGCTGCCACTGGAGCTTCGCTTCTCAGTACGTGCACTTTGGAAACTAAAGCACTGACTGGCCACGGGGGAGGCATAGCTAAGTTAATCTCAGGACACCAGGCTGTGTATAGTGAGCCACTTGTGCTTTCATTTAAATATGTACATGCACATGCCTAGGAGAGGGACCAGAAGGAACTCCATGACACAGCTGTTATGGTGGTTCCAACTGCAGCAGAGAATTACGGAGTACGTAATAGGACATTATAAGTTTCCTGCAGCGAACGTGATTATTCTTACAATGAGGAGAAACACACTATCAGTCCATAGTTGAATGTCATCCATACATCCCGTCCCTTTGAGTTCTTGGATCTGCATTGACCCTTTCTATTAAATGGGTGAAGTGTCCACTGCGGGCACCTCTTTAACAGACTGTTAAGCATGAAGGTACCTTCTGTGTGTATAAATTAGAATTTACAAAGCAGTTTATACACTCTCACTTTGGTTCTCAGAATAAACCTGTGAGAGTGGATGGAATTTGATTGGCATAGAGAAGAAACCTGGGGAAGTCATTTTTTAGATTAAAGTAGTAACCTCTCCTGTTCCTGTCCTCAGTTGTGTATGTGTATGGGTGGTGTAAGAGAGTCAGCACTGATGACAATTCCCTTAAAATTCTCTACTGTTCGTCGTTCCTGGAACACTAATACCTCTCTTCCATTTTATTCTATCAGCAGCAATATAATGTGTCTCTTTTTTTAAAGACAAAATTTTTAGAGCACTTATTCTTATTTTTTTTTAAATTGAGCTTTATATGGAATGAAGTATATTTTTTAAATTATTTAATTATTGGTTTTAAAATAGGACTTCGGTGTTTATGGAAGATACAACTTGTCCTACTTCTAAGGAGCTCGGACAAATGTAAACTCCAACTTTTTTTTACCCTGACATGGGACATAGACCAGATCTTTAATGATTATAAGAGGAATATATATTTAAGAGAAATTAAAATAATAGCCAGAGCTAACATTCATGGAGTGCTTCCTATGAGTCAGGCACTATTTTAAGTACTTTACGTGGGCAGTCTCATCTCATTTTCTCCCCAACCCCATGAGATGGTGGTATCGATAATCCCAGTTGACAGATGAGGAAACTGGAAATAGTATAGATCAGATATAATGAAGTTCTACCAAAGTTATTTTTGTAGACCCTTCTGAAACTGGTGGTCTGTGTTTACTAAGTAGCACAAAGCACGTTACCATCGCGTTCCTCTTGGCTACAGTACAGCGGTAAAGGGAAGCCCCAGCATTCCCCCAGCTTTGATGGATTTCTTCCTCCTTGCTGGTAGCAAGGTTTAAGTTGTCTACTAGTGAAACTGTCAAAACAGAGCAGTGTTTCTGAAAGCCTGCAGGGGCAGCAGCAAATCAAGGAGAGTCAAGGGTATCGCGGGGTGGGAGGCTAGTTATTATCAAACCGAAGGAAAAGCTCCAGAATCTTGGATTCCTCAGAATGTAGTATTTACACACTAAATCAGGTAGTCACTGTACTCTAAAAGTAAAATAGGAAAGGAGGAGTGGGGCTAGGGTATGGGGCGTTTCCTCCCATAGCTACTCAAAGTACTCAGTTGCTTCTTCCTATTGGAAAATTATGCTGCCCCCTCTCATGTCTTCAAATATGTTATTGTTCACACAAGATGCTGAGTGGACCTTCTCTCCTGTCCACAGAAAATCGTTCTGTGGAAGTTTGAAAACAGGGATGCTGCTTTCATTTTAAAGTGAGAACAAAATGCTAATTTTTTTCTCAGGTGTGTCTAAATCAGATTGTGTATTCGGATCCCCTTCTTCACCTAGCCCCTTGAGACCAACTGGCACATTTGCTCAGGTAAACCTAGCTCACGCCTGAGCAGGAAGCCCCTGGGTCTCCTGTCTGTTGAGCGAACACTTACTGAGTGTGAGCAGCTCCGTCCCAGGCCCTCACCTCAGCGAGGTGCTGGGCAGCCGCTGGCCCGCCCTCCTTCCGCTGGCTAACCTTCCTGGCTCCTGTCTCTGGCCCTGGCCCTGGTGCAGTGTGGGGTGCGGCTTGCTGAGCTCCGGATGGCTCCGGATGGTGGGGCGTGCTTTGAGGATTCCCGAGTCTCTGTCTTGCTTTTCAATTAACTTGCAAAGTTGTGCCTTCCACATGCCTAATTTGGCCCTCCTTGGAAATGGTTACGGTTTTAAGGCTGTTTTCAGATGCTCTTCCTTTCGACTTTGTAAACCAGTCTATTTCATTTTTTAGGCAGTGCTTTTACATGAAGACAAAAAGAAACAAAAAACAACTATATTTTTGAGTCCCCAGTCAGGTATGTGGGTTTTAAAAAAAACAAATGTGTGTTCTTTTATTTACTGCATAGCTTACCACATGCCTTTTGAGATGCTTCCTTTGAGTAAGTGGTTTTAACAGGGACTGGACATCAGAATCACTCAGGGAACTCTTAAAAATACGGTTGCCCTGTCCCCACCTTTACCTCCTAAATCCGATTCCGAGTGGGTAGGCTTAGACCTGCATAGCTTTTAAGTGTTCTAAGGTTATTCCTATACCGTCCCTGAGCAGGAACCATAGTCTTTAATTCTTTATTCCTCTTTCACACTTTTTCTTTCTGCTTTGAAATTGCCACTGTCTTGTCAGCAGTGTATTCTCCTCATGAGACTATGTGCTGTGCACCAGAGGAAGGGAAGAAAGTAATTGTTGGCCTGAACTCCACTCTCTCGCTCTCTCACTATGTCTTTAATCCTTCCTTCGACAAGTACTTATTAAGCCATTTTCCCTCTCCCCCCTCCACTGCCCAGCCCCAAGTGCAAGGTACGAGCCTTAACATGGGCGATACAGCAGGGAACCAGCAAAGTCCTTGCTCTCGTTCACTCTGTATTCTTGTCAGAAGAGATACGTAAGTATTTCTTATGGCAACAGGTGCTGAGAAATACAAAGCAGGAAAAGGGAATGTTGGATAGGGAGGTGGCCATTCTGTTAAGTAACATCTATGCAAAGAATCAAATGAAGGAAGGGGCCAGGCAGGGGAAGTTGGAGGTAGACAGTTCCAATAGAACTGAAAACCACCGTTGTCCCTCGGTGTCACTGAGTGGCAGGTGCAGGGAGGGGGGTGGTAGGAGGTCAGGTCAGGGTAGATGGGTGTGGATCATGAGGCACCTTGAGCACTGGCCAGATTGGATTTCTTTCTGTCTGTGAGATGGACAGCTGTTGGAGGGCTTGGGACAAAGGAAGTTTAATCTGAATTCTGTTGTGGAAGATTCCTTATGGCTGCTGTGAGGAGGTGAGGGTGACAGCCGGCCCACGAGGAGGCTTCTGCTGGAGCTCAGGGGAGAAATGGTGCCGGCTTACTCTCGGGTAGGAGCAGAAGGCAATGTGAAGACTGGTCGTGTTCTGGATATTTGGCACCAACGTGGGTTGTCACTGGATTAGATGGTGACATAGGACAAAAAGTGGACCCGAGATGACACTACAAGTTTAGGCCTGAGCAACTGGAAGATGGAAGTGGAATTTCCTGTGCTGAGAAGGACTCAGGAAGAACAGATTTCAGGGAGAAAGAGAGTCCAGTTGTAGCCATGTCAATTTAAGAGACTGCTAGATGTCTGGGTACAGATGCCAGGTCGCCAGTGGGATGGACGAGCAAGGTGTTCAGAGCAGAGGGCCAGGCTGAAGACCGAGACTTGAGTATTTTCAGTGCAGATAGCGTTTGAAGGCCTGGGTAGGAATGAGATCACCTAGAAAATAATGCAGAAAAAAAGAACATTTAAAGGCTCAAAATAAAGAAGACAGACAGAAGATGGTCAATGAGGGAGTAGAGCAGCAGGAGAGCTGGCTCCTGGAGTAGGAGCTGGTACGGAGGACAAGGGGCCTCAGAGAGGGCTTGACCATTCTTGGGCCTCGCCACTGCAAATTCTGGTGCGGTGTGGGTGGCGCTGTAAGCATTGCATTGGGCAGTGCTCACGTCATTAGTGACTCTGGGAAGAGCCGTCCCTCTGGCGTGAAGAGGACAGAAACCTGACTGCAGGGATTTCTGGTGATCAGTGTTGGAAGAGGAACTGTGGGCAACCGAACCTCACACCATCCCTGCCTGGCCCACAAGCCTGTGGACAGATGCCCAGAGGGAGGCAAAACCCGGAGGCTCTCCTTTTCTCCGGTGTTTCAAGAATGTGAGTCGGAAAGGGGAAGGGAAACTTGAGAGGGAAGAGGAAAAAGAAAGTAACTGAGCAACTTTTTCAGCTTTTTTTAGTTAAGAAAGGATGAAACTATAAACTCTATAACAAATATTCTGAGTTCTGGCCTGTAAACACCCTTAGTAACTTTGCTTAGTCTCTCTCTCTCTCTCTCTCTCTCACCTTATTCAATAAAGTAGGGTTAAAGAAAGGAAATTATATAAGCAAATAGAGCGTGTGTAGTCTTTTTAACTTGATTGTACAGTTTATGAGGAAAGTTTCTGAAATTTTAAAACTCCATTGACAGAACCTGACATTTTTGTATGTAGTGTAAAACAACCCACATATTTTATGATCAGCTTTTGCCTATTGTATGTTATTGCTGATATGCAAACACCATTTGTTTTTAGCTTGGAGAGATGTTGTGTTCGTTAGAATGTGAAGAGGCGAATGGGTCTCTGCCATCAGTTCCCGGGAGACAGCACTCCCTGCCCCTAGCAGCCTTGTAGGCCCCGCGGGGGCGAGAGGCTTCCCTGCTCTCACCAGCACAGTCTGAGGGAGCCAGGGCGCGGTGCTCTCACCCTGGGAAAGCTCTGAGAGCTCCCAGCAAGGGATGTTTGGTTGTCTCTACTCTCAATGTCGTTCACAAGAGAAAAATAAATGGACTTGTTAAATTATGTAGCTACTTCTGTTTCTGCTCGTCTGGGGATGAAGTATCTCAAGTATATACAGTAATCTAAACAGGAGTAGGCACTGATTTTTAAGCTATGTGAATTCCAGGGATTTTTTTTCTTTCTTTTTTTTTTTTAATGATTGGAGAAAACCTTTAAAGTGGCATCAGATCGCGTAACAATTCCAATTTGTGAAGAATGGGCACTGGTTTGGTATAGAGTGAGGTCAGATGGTTCAAGGAGAAAGAGCCAGAAATCTTCGGAAAAGTACCGCCCTTACCTAAAAAGGGAACAGTGGATATAAAGGTAAAGACAAAGGCGGCTCTGTGAGAAAATGCAGGAGCAGCTGTTTCCTGGGAAGATTTTGCCATTGTTTTCAGTAGAATGCATGGACGGATGTAAAAACAAGAAACATTCTAGTGGGAAAACACCTCAAATCAAATAGAAGTGAAGTGGGCCTGGGGCCCTGTTGTGAGACGAGAGGAGGAGGCTGACACCCTCTGCCTCTGAAAGCCAAGTGCGGGAAACGGACTCTCCATGGCAGTGTGTGCGGTTGCTTCCCATAGATCCTCTGAGAGTTTCAGGGTCACAGAGTTACCATATGTAAACAAGCCGAAAGAGTGTTGTTTTTACAAGCCTCAGCCTTGAACAGATATTTCCAGAGCATTACACAGGGAAAATAGGGATCCTTGCTTGGTCGAGATGTTGCTTTTGCCGAGGGTAGGGTGTGGAAGAACATGGCCTCTGCCATCAGATTGCAGGATATGATTTCTAGCTTTGTGATCTTGAAAAACCTGCTTACACTCCGCTTGACTCAGTTTCCTCATCTGTTACAAAGGGATGATAATAGCTGGCTTACAGGGATGTTGAGAAATCCATGTAAAAGCACTTAGAACAGCACCTGCGTGTAGCCACGGAACAGAGGTTTGTAGAAGTGGTGACACACTGATGCTCCCGCACAGTGTCCATTGGCGTGGCTCCTGATAAAGGCTTACACGTCTTGAAAGTAGAAATTTATTATAATTTTCTGAATTTGTTTGTCAGTGGGAGAAGAATACAGATGTTGGACATCTGGACATAATACCTGGGCATGGCATGACCAGTTGGCTGTAAAGATTTCTGTAATTGTCTTCCGCGTCAGAGACTTAAATATTTACAAATATTTTCAGCAACTGTAAAGCTTAAAGGTTGAATTGACTACAGAAGAAAAATTATTACAATAAACATACCTACTTTATACCAGAAAAAAAAAAAAAGAAAACATTTATGGGTGGTTAGAATCTATCTTAGTTAAACTCCTTAGTCAACAACTGTTAAGACTTGTCAGATTTATCCACAATAACCTCACCCATTGTCTGTATTATAAATCTGAAATACATCTCAACTGTCAGTAGTGTTAAATTTCCCCCGAGCTCTTTTTTCCCCACAGTACTAAATATGTGACACACAGGTGGTTTCCTGTTGATAGGACGGCCCCTGTTCTCTCCAGTAGCCATATTGACCTCAAGCAAGAGACCTGCTTTCTCTGAGCTCCAGATGTCTCATCTAGAGAAGGGCTGTAGCCCCATTTATCTTACCAAATCCTGAGGTTAAAGCACCGAGCCCCTAAAAAGCCAAGTTCTCTTTCCTGATACTTCTTGCTCCATTCCTTTCTCCTGGGCTGCATATAGTCCTTAACTGCCAAATGGGAGAGTAATGAATAGAAGATTCCGTGAATTTCCTTGTTTTCCATTGTGACTCCCCTCCCCCTTATACACACTGCTGACGCAGTGCCTTAGATGTTCAGTGAGTTTTACTGATAGAGATGTATTCATTTTGAAAGAATAAAGAGACTAAGCAGGAGAAGGGCCAAGAATAAGAGCTTTCAAATCAGACATAGGTGAGTTTGAAATACAGCCCAACTATCTGCTGGCTTTTCAGCCTCTGTCAAGTTACCGGACATCTTTGTACCTTAGTTTTCTTATCAATAAATTGGGGCTGACACCTCACAGGACAGTTGTAAGGATTAATTTTCTATACATAAAGCTCTTTTCACAGCATCTGGCAAATATTATCCCTCAGCAAGTTATCACTGCCTTGTTACGGGTGTAAACAGTTTCCTGCCTCGCTGTTACTTCCCTCTTCTAATAGGACACATACATCATGGACATTAGAACCATAGTCAGCTGGTTTTCCTGCATAAGTGAATTACTCTGGTTTACATAATAACCATTTATTCAGAAAGAGAATCTCAAAAAAACTAAGATTTCTCTATTCCTTACAACTCCCCCTTTTTGCAAAGAAGGTTATATTTCCAAAAGAACTACGTCTGACTCTTCATTTATTCCATTTTAATCTCACAGTTTGAAATCCTAAAAACTGAAGATGTTGGAAGAGATTGATGGTATCTTTACTCCCTCATGATGATGTGTATATACTATCACAGTTTTTTACCTCGACCAGAATTTAAAAGCCTAATTTTTTTAAAAAGTGAT